TTCATGTTGTCCATGCGGGAAAAGACCCGACCACACTCCTCGCCTTCCAGCCCACGCCACTCGCACTTGATGCCTGGGTTGTGCTTGGCCTCGTGGCGGGCGCGGTCCTTCTTGCTGGAAAACCCACCCGTGAGGGGCTGGTCGGCAGATTTGGCGCGCGCGACGGCAGCAGCTTCACTCTGTTGGCAACCATCCACTCGGCAGAAGAGATGCTTGCTGTGTCGGTTGTAGTGTTTCCGTAGATCGCATCCTCGTGTGAACGTAGCGCGCGACGTGCAGCCTGGGTAAGCACAGCGCCAGGATTGAGCCACACCACCGTTCTGAGCGGACGGCGAGGAGGGATGGAGAGATGCCGCAAGCAATGACGGTTGCTCGGTCACTGGGATTCCATAGGCGTGAAGAGAAGCGTTCGACGAGGTTGAGTTCGAGCGCAGGGCTGGGCGAAGCGAGTCGGAGTGACCACCTCTGCTCAGCGACGAGATGGGGCTGCATGACCGGGACAACGATGATACGCTACCCCGGTGACTTTGAGAGCTCTGATGAGAGAGTTGAGAGAAGACTGGCGAGGCGGCCAGATGGTGGGTTGACGAGATGCCCGACGTCGGTGCCTGACTGAAGTCGAAGTGTGTAGGTTGAATGTCCTGGGGGGTTGGAGGAATGACATGGGCGGATGGATGATGGTGGTTGAAGGTCGGGTAGTGTGTCGACGAGGTTGGGTCATAGGGCAGCAACGGGGTAGGCTGAGGGTAATTGGAGTAAGGGAACCACTGGTTCTGTTCATACATAGTGTATGTGTTGGGGGTGACAGCTGATGAGGATGTGGTGGTGGTGGAGTTGAAGTCGGCAGTCAACGTTGGATCAGTGACGGGCGGCAAGGGAAAGAAAGAGGCAGAATCAGACGAGGTATCGTCGAAAGATATCTGGTGCAGATCGTGACCTTGGGACTCGGACATGGACAAGCTTGGAAGCATGTATATCGACTCTGATGACACGGACGGATTATGGCCTCGAGTCGAAGGAGCCGGCGAAGGGTAGCAGAGGCCGGGGAGGGAAGGTGAGCAAGTCAGCAAGGCGCTTTTGTCGAATTCGTCGAATTCGCTGGGCGGGGGGGTCATGGAGAAGATGGCGTCCTGGGTCTCAACGGCCATGGCTTGCAGCAAGCACTATCTTCCTCTTGCTGATTTCGTGTTAATTTGGGAACACGGGTGGTGGTGGTGCTGGCGGTGCTGGCGGTGCTGGCGGTGCTGCTGCTGCTGGAGTATTGGTGCTGGTCGTGTTACATATATATCTGGTGAGCTCCTCGGCGAGATACCAGATCCCATGGGTCGTAGAGTTTCAGGACACTCGGCGGATGGTCCTGCTTGCTGGCAAGTTTCAAAACATCGAACACAGAAAAGCCCAACCCATGGGGCGAAGAAGGGCATATGAATAGTAGGACCGCCTGCCTGCCTGTCTCTTCGTACATAGACCATCATGGCTTAGGGCGAAAAGGCAATCCTCGTAGGGCTAGAAACGACCCCGGTCTCATTGCTGACAGCATCCCCCATCATGATCCCAGGACCCATGGGACCCAGGGGAACCCAGAGAGCAGATCGCTTAGAAACAAACCGCACAGTTGCATGGGATGATGGCAGACGCTGGATACTGGGGGATTGGGAAGCGGGTCCCAGCGGCCGAAGCGGCCAGGGATTGAGCATTGAGCCACACTCGGATCCCCAGTCCATCACCTGAGTAATGCTGGCTCTTGGGTGGTAAGGCGGAAAAGGAACAAAGGGAAATGAAAGGAGGTGGAGAAGTGCTTGAGCAGTCGCAACGAACTCGTACCAGTAGGCCGTTACGCATGCAGACGGTGATACCGGCGGATGCGCCAGCTGCTTCGCTGATCATCTCACCGCAAGCCCGTATTCAGCATACCGATACCGAGTACACGCGGTGGAGCCCCCTCGTTTGCTAGTCTGTCACTCTTCTTGGTTTTCTCGTCTTTGTTGCCATTTTTTCATGGCCCAAAGGACCCCTCGCTCGCTGCCCTGTCCGTCCCAGGGCCCCGCCCCCCTGGGTGGTCTTGGGTGGTCTTGGGTGGTTTAGGGAGGGCACTAGGGGCGTCTTGGGGGTGAGACTGGATGACCACGGTGAGCCAGAGCCCAAATGGTGAAAAATTTCTGGGTATGGTTAGGCACTGATTTGCTTTTCAGACAGGGAGCAACTGAGAGCCCGCCAATGTCCGTTGCCATCTCGTTGGTTTCAAAACAAACCCGGATGGCTCCCTTTTTTCGCCCCGTGGCCATCGTTTGGTGAAGGAGAAAGGAAAGTAGCAACAGCAAACAAAGAAATGCCCTTGACGCACACCCCTAGGTTACAGTGCTGTGCGGGGAGGCGCTCGGGTACCTACCCACCAGGGCTGGATTGTATTGCCATTCTGTCGGAGTCCCTGAAAAGGAGCACAAAACATGCTGATTTGGACTGGCCGTGGGCACTGTGGTCCCCCCCTTGTTCAATGTTTTGTCATGCGCCGGTCGCCAGTAGAGCATGCCCAGGAGCCCGCCAACCGACGAGATTCTAATCTGGGTTCCTGAGCCCGCTCCCAAGCCTTGTAGATCGGCGAGCTGAGCCAGTTGCAAAACGTACGAGTCATTTTTTTGACCGACGGTTGATGCGTCACTCGGACTTAATTGCGCCGTGTACAACATAAGAGCTCGGAGACATGGTTAGCTCGCCCAGACTCTTTGTTTCCGCCGTGATCGTCCTTGTTGCGAAACTCATCCGGTCAGCTCGCGCTCGCAAGATGATCTCTTTGAGCTTAGGCAGAAACCGAGGGAGGGGGCTCCTGAGTCACCGGCAGAAGGACCAAAATTACAGTTTTTGTCAGCGGAGAGCTGGGCAGATTGAGGGTGGAATATCTGGGGGGGATTGCAAATCGATACCGCCCCATAAAATCCCAATCAGATTGGCGACGAATATGTACATGTACTGTACTGGGTACCACTCCTGGCCCTCCAGGGTGTTGCATCTTTCGTGCTTATCGACAGGCTGCAGTGCCAGTGGGTGTGGATGATCAGCGTTTCCTGATGCGTTGACGGTGACACTGTCCCATGGAGCTGAGGCGAAGTAGTATTTGACGGTTGCAAGCCGACGTTTGTGTCCCAGAAGTTCGTTGCCCGATTGACAGACTACCAAATTCGGTATATCGCATCTATGGTCCGGGGTACATAAGAATGGGTTATCCCCCGTTGTTCAGGCCAGCCGCGACGTCCATATTCAAGCATCTACGTCCTTGTTCCAGGTATTCATATTGTCAATCCCAACTGTAGGCAATGCAACTGCCTTGATAACCAATGTGTCCCTTGTCATGACGAACGACTATGTATCGACTCGCAGTAATGACCTAAACAGGTATCTCGCGAGACCAGGTAGACCGTCTTGTGTAGATCTTTAAACTCATGCTCAGTTCGAGGCTTTTCGTATTATGGCCTGAGCATACTCTCTGTGGTCGTACTTGTCACCGTTTTGAGAATAGCTTTGAACCGAGATGCCTCTTGTGACAATCTGCGGCCACCGATCACTCTATGCGGCCCCTCATTCGGGAGTGGTATCGCGTATAGTAGACAGGCGCTAGGGTGAGAGGTTGTCCAGTCTGGTCGATTGCGCACATGTTTACTCTCTTGTCCTCTCTCTCAGTATCCATGTTTGTTGCGGTAAGTCTGAACGAGCTGCAGAAGGACAAGCGCCATGCTCAACGTCACCAACGTCGATAGACTTTGGACAGGTTAAGATGCTCGTCGCCATGGCAGAACAGGGTTGAACCTGACGTAAGCCTCAAACTCTTGCCATCCCCACGAATACCCATGATCGACGCCCCTTGTGTACGAATATCCGAGAAGACGGTATTATTGGCCCCCCTTTCACCAGAGACCGTCCTTTTGCACCTCTCGCGTTGACGAGCATAAGATATGACTGGGCTTAGTCACATTCGCCCCAGCGCATGTGGTATGCAAGCGACTACCGAAATCCAGCAAGGCATACCTATGATCTGAACAAGGTCCTGCTCCATGTATATCGGGGAGAACGACCGCATGCCAGACATTCAGATCGTTCAGACCGACTTCAACCCCCTGGCACTATGGAGATTTGACGTCACCGTACCTCGTACAGTAAACAGCCTTGAAATTCCTGAATCAAGGATGAAATGTGCCAAACAACGAGATAAAGACGAGCGAGCACCTCTCGCACAGAGGGTATACATTGGGAAAATGCATTTTCCTTCACACCTTCACCATTCCGAGGAGTCAAGATCACGGACACGTTGTTGCCGACCCAACAACGGGAACAGAGCGATCAGACGAAATTTCCACGTGGAAATGCAGGTTGTCGAACGGGGAGCACGGCACTGTAGGGCTCCCTTCTCCTGCCAAAATCCTGGGTATACTTGATTCCGGGAAACCTGGCTCACCTCGTTCGTCGACAGGGGTAAGTCTGTAGGGCACCCCGATTCGTGGAGACCATCACGACGTGCTGGCCAACCAATAGATGGATGGTATTATGACCGTGGTGACATTCTCTCACTGCTTACACAAGTGAAGAGAGGATGTGACAGACGTATGTGAGCTCCCACCAGGTCAGTTTGAGGCGGTAGCAATAGTACGTGCACTCTACTCCATGCTGTGGAAAAAGGAAACACACAAAAAAAAAAAAAAAAACAAGCAACAGAGTAGGGGAGAAGGGGAAATAGCCCGACGGCTCCACGCTGAAATGGCAACACCAAAAACACGCTAGCTCCTCTTGACCTAGCCCAGATTGGCACTCTTGGCCTCATCACATGACTCACCTTCACTCTGTAGGGTCTGGAATCCATGCTGCGGTCACTTGGGCCATCATCTTGACAGTCATATTATCTGTGGCTGAATCGCTTCATCAGCTTGTACCTTTGTTGCTAGACACCGATCGTCCTCTAAATGTAACACTTTCTTCGAAACAGTCACTGCGTACCTGGAACGCTCACAGGGATGTTGCAACCAGACTCGTCAGGGCCGGTGGACCCGGAGGACCGCAAAATCATCGAACAACTTGCGAAATTGCAAGACATGTACACCCAAGTCAGTGCATTTACCTTTCCTTTGGCATTTCCCCTTGGCCAATGAGACCTCAAAATCAATGCTGACCTCCTTGGAGATTGGTGACCTTCGGTCTTTACTGCCCGAGAAGCTGATCAATCCAGCCCGTGTCGCTCTGGATAACCCTGGTGACTACGAGCCTGAAAGGCTCGCCGCCTATTTGCAGACTGCAGCACTGGCTGGCAGTCGGGACCTCGAGAGATTCAAGAAAGACTGGCATAGTGACGACGTGCGCGAGCTCTGGCAGACGGTCAATGCCAATGACTCGCCCCAGGGTGGAGACGCGTGGGCATTCGACTATGCCAGTCTTCTCCGGGACGCTGCCGCAAATGAGGAGACATCCATTTCTACTCACAAAGAGGCTATCCATGACTTTCAACCCCAATCTGATGCCGAAATTGCGAAGACTGTGGACGACTTTCGCGCAAGGCACCCGGAGTTGAAGATAGACGTGTCCGAGGAAGCATCCCTCTTGCCAATCGACATCGGTGTCTCCCGTTTTGACTTTCGAGTTGAGAAGAAACAGTCTTCAGGCGTTACAACATACGACGTCATTGACAAGTCTGGCGCAGCAGCATCTGGTGTATACGACATGGGCGCTGACGTTCTTCAAAGCATTCGAGAGTCGAAAGAGAGAGACCGGCTCGAAACCCTCCTTGTATGCATTCCATCACGTCACCGCTCCATCTGAGCATGCTAACGATCCTCTCTAGGAGATGATTTATTCGTACCACGACATAACGGCGAGACCCTGCGATAAGTGCGGGAAACTTTTCGACACCAAAAAGCTGAAACTGCCCGTGATTCGACAGGTGAACCCCTTGACACAGGGAGAGCAGCACCCTCAGTTTTTGGCGCTCCATCGGGTTTGCGTGTGACTCTTTCTAGCCGTGGATACACGGGTTGGCTCTTCGCGGCCCATCACCTCGTCTCTTGGTCGTCAAGGGCTCAAAGGTGTCTTGACAGCCGCTCTGCTCGTGACGTACAACCACTATCAGTCTTGCTGGGAATAAGCCCTTTCCCGCGTTAAAGGAATGTCTTCTTGCTGCGCTCAATTACAGCACGGCACACTTCTGATCCTTTGTTGCGCATGGCCTCAGTCTTTTGCTGAGAAGTCATGCCATTCGAGGAGAAGTACGATGCAACATAGTCGTGGTGTGAGCGCCATACTCCTGCGAGGGCAGTGTCTCAATCGCAGTCTGACTACTAGGTGTGAAAGGAATTCTTGGATTGAATCAAAAATCCATCGTTCGACCGGTCTGTGTTGAACCTGCGAACTCTTGTCCGTAGATCACCCTGTGGGGACTTTCTTTCCATGAAGCGTCCTCTCCGCGCGGATGCTTCAGCCAGTGACTCGTGCTAGTGAATGGCCTCGATCCTGCCGCGCAATGAAATACTACTCCCAATATCCTCCCTCAGCTCTACTTCAACTACTACGGAGACGGTCTATTAAACACGAATGCAGCACGCTACTCGCACAGTGCTGTCGCCCCATCTTGTTAACGAAGAGATGACGACCCCCAGCTTCCTAACTGGCCCTTGGTGACTTCCACAAGGCGACGGCGCCAATGTCCAAACCCTCCCACGGGCACACCTGTTCCGAGTTCGAAGAGGACCAATGTCTGAAGATGAGCTGCCGCTGGGACGAGCAAACCGCTCAGAAGATAACCATCTCTCGACATGGAAAATGGACAGAATACATGTTGGGCCATCAAGCAGCACTACAGACGGGCAGCAACAGTCTCGGAACCATCTGACAGCGAGCTTCAGCAACCTCAAAATCGCAAGTCTCCCAAGTGAAATGCCAGCTGCAATCTGGCCGACAGGCGACAGTTCCAGACAAACACAGCCGCAGAGAAAACGAACCGTCGATGGAGCCATCAAGGACCAGCGCATTTTACCCACGTTTAATTTGAGGGAGAATGAACCTGCACAGCGCGACAGCTACGGCCAAACCCCCAACATGAAGTTCAAGATGGATTTGGACATTCTGAGGCGCCGGATTGCTGCAATTGAAGCGCAAGAGCAAGGGAGCATCCAGGATAAGTCGGTTACGAAACGAGCGAAAGGACGGAAACAGCTAGCGGGATTGCGGCAACAGCAGCAAAAGACGAGGATGAAAGGCAGACAAGATCCAGAGACAGAAAACAGTCTGATGGACTGGAAGGAGGCGGTCATTCGATGAAGCTACCTGATTCAGACTGAGCGGGAGAAAAGTAGCCGCAATCTGACAAGGGAGTTCCCCCCCCCCCCCCCACAGCTACGGCTACAGCATATCCCCTACTTGTTAGGTCACCCGTTCCCTTGAAAGCAGGTGACACACGCTCACGACTCTCATCTGTACTTGTTATGGCCCTTGCTGGGATTGTTCGCTCCATCGCAATCGGCAGGAACTCCAGCGCTGCGGTGGTCGGGATATGGGCATGTTGTTCGGAGTCAGACGGTGGTGTGCTTAGTAGCAGCTCATGTCGGAAGATCCCCCAATATTGTCCTTGTACTGTGCTGCGTTGGTCTCTCATGGCAGAAGGCAGATGGTGTGGAGAGGTGACTGAAATACATACAGTACTGGGTAACGTGATATCAGATACTGGGTATGAGGCTCGCGGCTCGCGAGTCGCGACCCAAGTGGACGAGGAGCTGGCAAGCTGGATGTGGGGGCGCACCAAAATAAGAACAGCGCCCTAACCAGACACGGTCAAGATCCCCCGGCGGAAAGTGGCTCAGTTAGGCTTTGACAGTGCCGATTGCTGGGCTTTGTCGGGCTTCGCTGGGGGTCGAGTGTGGCAGCTAGGCCTTATTGGTGTCTCTGTTTTGCGGTTCCCCGGCTTCCGTCGCCCAGGGTGAGACTGAGACAACCCTCGCCGTCTCTTTTTTCATCGCCCTGCGCTCCTTTCTGCACTCCCAGAACCACTCCGTCGTCTGTTTCTGACCCGACTCTCGCTATAATTGTCAGTCCTTCTATTCAGTCGCTACTACTGTATTGTCTATGCTGTTCCTGAAACCAGTGGCAACGAAGACTTTGCCCAGAAAACCATCCTCCTTGCTCGATTGATTCGATCCCTACGACGCCCTACGAATCCGCTGCCCTCATCGTCCGAAATGAAGGGCCCCGGCCTCTTTTCGATCCTCTCCTCCCTCGTCCTCTTCTTTGCAGCTTGTTCCTCGGCCTGGCCGTGGCCCGATTTTCTTGACAACAAGGTCGATGCTCTGATTGTCCCTCGACAGAACCAGAACGGAAATGGCAATAATGCCTCCTCAACCGGAAGCAACCCCTCAAGCACATCTGCCAGTCAATCTGCATCTTCAACGGGCTCAACGATAACTGCGTCGGCATCTGTGTCAGGCTCAGGGTCTCTAAACTCGACTACAACAAAAAGCACAAAAACAACTCTAATTGACCCTCGCCTCCCTCCCGGCGGTATCTCGCTCATCACCCCCGCTGCAATCGATGGTCCTCAATACTACAAGGTCGGGGACTTTGTCACGTTCGCTTGGAACTATACTTCTCTGTCGGTAACCCCATCCGCCATCGACGTATTGGCCTCCTGCGCCTTGAATCAAGCCACCTATACAATCTCTTCCAACATGTCAGTGCAGGAAACCGGTGCTATTACCTGGGACACTGGCGAGATGTATGCAACGGCCACCAACCCCTTTCCAGTCGCCAGTTACACCTTGATTATTCACGATTCGTCCCAAGATATCACCGATGTCCCCAGCGCTGGGTTTTTGGCTGCTTTTGAGCAGTATGTTTTTGGGATGTACACACCGTAAGTCTGGCTCTCCTGCATTAGAGCGTTGAATGCTAAGATGGTCCAGGCAAGCGTATACTCCGCTGAACGAGTTCAAATGCGCAACCTGCAATGGCGCATTCTCCATCCACGAAAAACAAGCATTAGGCGTGATACTCACAACATCAGCAATTACCATCTTGTCCTTCACATGGTTCGCTAGGGGATTTGGCGTGTTTTGATAAAAGAGCTCACTATGACCAATATGACGGACATTTTTGCCATATATATATTTATAGTATCTAACGACCAATAATTGGATGACAAAAACTTTTCTAACGAAACAAGACATTCAAGTATAGCGGCATATCGAGCGGAATCTTCAGCAGGTTGCAAATAATGGTGAACTACAACGGAAGGCTATTGAGGAATCATCGGCAACCAACATGACCGGGGAAACGGAGAACGGCATCCGGGGTGTCCAACGATTTGGAAATGCAGAAAGAACAACATGAACTCTCAGGCTAATGAAGAGACTTCCACAAGCGGAAAAAGATTGTTAGTTTCTTCGATTCTAATCTTGCCGGTTGGGAAATGTTTACTCTTATCAATTGACGTCGAGGGACCTGAACCAGAACCCCTGGCTCTCGAATAACCCAGAACCCAGGCGAAGATGTGGACAACCACCAAATGTCATGGCAGACGATCCCCAGACCGGAACCGCTCGACGTTATACTGTTGATATCTCTGATATTGTGATTGGTGAATCCATCCTGCGATTTGTCAAGGTGGAAGCCTTCCGGACGCAGTCGCTCATCTGTCTGGACCTCCGGAACCATTTGCTCGTCAATCCGCTGGCAGAGAGCCTCAAGGGTAACGGTGAGGAATAAAAGAGCGGAAGTTGATCTTTTGCATCCGATCTGGAGATCTCGAGAATGACTGGTTGCGCTTTTATTCTGTCCACAGTTTTTGTCAAGCATATCCGTTCCTTTCTTCATCTGTCTGTAGTCTGGAGCTGCCTACAACTGACATTTCACGAGCCAACTCCTTTCCCGACTTCCTCCTCACATACGGTGAGAACGCACAACAACATCTCCACCTCTGTCAATCACGATTTATGATTCTAGGATATCGAGGAAGTACAAAAGCCTCCATGTTGTGCTCCCCCTTGCTTCAACAATAATTATCACATTCTTTCGCTCTCTGTTCTTTATTCCATCCTCGCGGATTGCGATCAGGGTACGACAGATTTTTGTGAGCCTCCTAAATAATTCTTTGACACCACAGGAAACTTTGCCATCAGTTTTCGCCTATCTAGGATTGCTTCGCTTAGCAGAGACTGCCTCCTTGCCAGCATACGACGACTTTGCCCACCGCAACCCAAAATACGTTTACCTGTCCCCCTCAGTGCTGAACGCAGTGCAACAACCTAACCTTCCTGGGTACTTCGAGCAGCATTAAAGTTCAACTTCGGGACAATCATCCCAAATTACTTGACTTTGCATTCCATGAAGATGCCTTCTCCAACCTCTTCGTCCCACAAGGGTACAAAAGCAACAGCCTCATCCCCCAACAAGCAGACATCTCGACCACCACCTCAACCAGCAAAGCGACCTGCAAACTGGGTTGCCAAGCATGACGCCTTCATTCGCGAACAGGCTCATAACGGTGAAGACGCAGAGAGTATCCGCATCCTGTTCGAGGTCGAATACCCTGGTGTCATTGTGAGCAAGGCGTGGGTTTTGGAGAGGATGAAGGCGACCGTCGTGGGCAGGTAGGCTCGTGATTGGAGAAGCGGCTCAGCCGACTGGGCGAACTAGGGATTGTTGGAAAGGGGGGAGTAGAGGCCAGGTTTTGGTTCAAGGAAAGAAACGCATGTCCTGTGGGGTGTGACATCCAAATGATATTGGGATGCCTCGGGGGGGTAGACAGGAAACGAGCCAGCGGTGTTGGAAATTCCAGTTTGACCATCGAGGGATTCGGAACGAGTGCATGGAACAGTGAAGGGCTACAACCGGTGATGTTACAGTCCGCATTTCTCCAAAATCCATCCAAGTCTCACCTGAAGGACGCAGAACGGTATGGCTGAACGATTGCATTATGTAGGTAACTCGGTAGTGTGGCACGCAACGGCGTTGAAAAAGGAGTCGATGATATTGATAAATTGATATTGCCAAGATCCGCCGAGGGGGGGGGGGTTGGGAGAACAGCGTCACGTTGCCGTATGCTCCACCCTACGAGCTGGGTAAGGATTACCATGGAGTTGGGTGACGAAAGCTGGTCCAAGACCGCGTGGACAATCCACAACTCGGACTAAAATGGCTATCGAAGCACTTGAAATACCACCTCGGGGGTTTCCCGGTGAGAACGGTCAATGTGTGAAAGGGAGGAAATAAGTTGACCAGCGGCGACAAGTGGCTCGGACACGATCAGCAATCGATAGAGCGAATGCTGTCCCGATTGAAGGAGCGCACCGCCACCCTGGTCGTGGTCAACTCGGCGCACAAGTCGATGAGAAGCCACAATGTGCTCGTGTTCGAAGAGTCCCCGGACTCCGACTACCGCACCACGCAGAACAACGGAGCTGGGACCGAGAGGGAGCGTAAGTAGGAGCTCGAGCAGCGATGCGTGACAGGGCTTCAGCTATTGCGCTCGGCCAGGAGACGAGCCAGGCGAAGCAGCCAGCGACGTGTCTAAGCCCTCCACAAAGGATATAGGATCGAGCATTCGAGCATCGAGCATCTGCGAGAGAAATTCCACTTGGAGGACAAGTCCATAGTCTATCCTTGATCCCGTATCCTCCGTCCATACTCCCCCTGAGCTTGGGCGAAATAAACGGGACAAGTATATACGTACATACACATACACAAGTAGATAAACCCCGGTAGGATACTCCGTACCTCGTCCACGTAGGGCGAACCGAAACCCCATTCACTCTTAAATGGATTAAACGTAGCCTTCGGTTATCAGTGCCCATGACGTTGGTTTACCCTTTGAGAGGGAGTGGTGCCTGTCCTTTGTTCATGTATCCTGTTGTGTTGCTGTATCGGATAGACCGGCCATAGCGCCGTTGTCGAACACTCCTCGAGAAGCTCATGGAAGTCACATCAGTCACAAGAATCGAAGAAAAGGATCAAGAGCAATAGCGTAACGATTTCAAGCTACCTATCGGTTGGTGTTCAGCACAGACGTTATTCGTGAGATGTATATGGGAATACCTAGATAATGTGTAAATGTCTGTGTGCAAATAGAGGCATGGAAGTGAAAGTGCCACATTCATAGCACTTGTAGTAAACCCCCCCTGGCGCCCAATCCAAATATTGTTCCCAATTCCGCGAGGGAGATCATCTTATCCAACTCCGACGCTGTAACGACAGGTGTATGATTTCGGTATTTGGTTGTGGGTGGCTTGGTCCTCGCAGCCAGATCCAGATGTGTCATGATTCCTCCCGAGGTCACGAAATCCAGACCTCCATCTTGCCCATTTCATTCCTCTCTTTCCTGGCTTGGTTGCGCACACTCGCCAACAACATCTCCAGATCATCTTGATCACCCATAGTGATCATATCACCGTCATCTTGCATCTTGATCTTCAATTGGTCCTTGATCCCAAACTTCTCACGTATTTTGCTTTCAAGGTCACCAAAGTCGATCACCGCGCCAATCATTAGGTATCTCGTGTCATCATTAAAGTGGCATTTGACTCGAATCTTGCGCATTTCGGGTCGCTTGCTGCTGCGCCCGGACCGGGACTGTGCACGGCGGACGGGCTCGAATCCGGTCATGTCTTCAGCGCTCATTTCCTCCTCGTCTATATATTCGTCTTCTTCATTCAAGTAGAGCTCTTGTTCTGGGCGTCGCTGACGCCTTCGGGGGCTGGAATACATACGATAGACATCATCCACAGTGTCACTGGGATCTTCGTATCGAGATTGGGTTGTTTCTCGGAACAATGGTGCAGGTGCTCTTTGCGAGGCCGAGCGGTCAAGCATCTGCCGTCGAACAGAAGGACCGCGGGGCTCAGACGCGGTCCTTTGGGTGCCATAACGCGATCTTTCCATCTGTGGCCGTTCCACCACAGAAGGTTCCTCTGGCCAGGAATTCTCGCGTTGTGGAGGGGGCATCCTGCCTATGCTGGGTGGTTGGTTCGCGCTGGTGTCGAAGGTTGCGGCCCGACTCATCATACCGGGTCTGGGAGGATCCATGTCCGGTCTGGAGTACATGTTCCGTGGTTGACGCATAGAACTGCTCCGAAGAGGCAACGTCGAAGAACCGTTGCCACTGAGTCTGGGCTTCTCGTTCTCCGGTGGCGGTGTTGGCGGGAACACGGTTCGGTTCATAACAGGAGGGGCGCTCTGGTCTCGAACCACTCTACTGGACAGATTGCGCTGGACCAGGTTTGTTGCCGCATAGCTGATATTTTCCGGAGGACGGTCATCCTTGGCTGACATCTCAGCCGCTACCGCCTGTTTTCTCTCCACACCCTGGAATCCGGTACCGGTGTTCTCACTATTCGATGTGGCTATCAGTCGAGCCTTGCCCAGGTAGTCTTTTGCTTTGAGGTTCTTGACTTTGGCTTCGTTTGGTCTATAAACACATCCGACAGGTCTATAAGCGCCAAAAGTTAGTCCATCGATCTCTAAACCATATAAGAGGCATGATTTGTCTCAGATGCTGTTCATTGGAATAAGAGACTCACATGCTGAACACCACATAGCCCTGAATCACGTCAGCAACACAACTCTATTGCATGAGGCCTAATGCTCACCTGTGCCATATCCTTTATAGCATCGTCAATTACATCGTGGTCAGAAGTCATCTTTTCCTTCTGAGCGAAATTGAAATCTTGCAGACCGGCCTGCTCTTGCTGGAGGTACATGTAGCACAGGCCACGGTTGAAGAGAACTTCACAAGAGTAAAGCTTGAACTTCAGGCCCAGCTGCTCGTAGTCGATATATGTATTGCCTCTCAAGTAGAGCAGGGTGTCATTGAAATTTGCCAGTGCTTCTTCGAAATCCCCGACCAGGAAGTTTGAGACGCCTTGTTGGAAGTAGGCCACGGCGAGGTACTGGTCGAGCTTGATTGCGCGCTGGTAACATTCCACCTAGGCCTTGTATCAGTGCTGGTTTGGTCCTGCTCGTCTGTTTACACCCAACGCACCGCTCTTTCATGTTCGCCAATGGTGGCATGGATGACTCCGCAGTTGAACAGGATCTTGGAGGTATCTGCAATTGCGTCGAAAATCCGCAATGCTTCCTCGAACTCTTGATTGTCATAGTGGCCAAGCGCTTCGACCCAAGTCTCTATTTCCTGCAGCGGTGTCAGGTACAGGGAAGGAGGAGTTGAAGGGGTTTCACGTACCTGCTTGAGCGACATGGCGCCGGGAAGAGGGTCGTCGCAGTCAGAATCGTCGTCAAGAAGGTGGTGACAGTGAGGTGCAGGTAGATGACGGAGGCAATGTGTTTACAGAAGGAGCGAGATCTGCAACAGAAACGGCGGTGCCTGAGACGATATTGAAATGGTGTGTGCCGGCGGTCACAGAGTCTGCTGGGGTGGTGGGAAGCGATGGCAACCACAGGCTGGTACTGGAGCTTGCACCGAGGCAGCGAGGGCCGGCCCTGCCGCTAGGTCCTGGAAATGGGCGTTCGAGGGCCAGGGGTTAAGCGCCCGGGGTGGGTTGCTGGGTTGCTTGGGGGGCGGGTGGGATTTTCTCGGCGCCAATGCCGTCACTGACTGAGGTGCCAATGAAAGAGGCCGTCAACTTGACAATGTGGTGAATTGTAGATTAGCGGAATGCCACCGATAGATTGCAAATAGTCTGGAGACAAAGTAGATGGGTCGGAAGATACGGAGTGCAAAAAGAGCGTGTAGGTGTACGTATCCCAAAAGCGCAGCTTGGGAGAAAGGAAAGCAGCAATGCCAGTTGCTGGGTGAACGGCGAAAAGGAGAAGAAAGTTGAATGAAAGGACGGAGTTTCTGCGACAGCAAGACTTGAACTTCTTGAATGATGGTGAAAGAAGGGGAGCAGGAAAGTGGCGCCAGTGGGGAGGGAGGCTTCAGGGCTTGAGGGCTTCACGCGAGAACAAGGGTGAAAGAAGAGCATGGAAGCAAGGGGGGAATGGGATAGGCACTGAAATGGAGATCGGGGGGCGTATAGGAAAGGGATGCGAGGCAAAGGGAGGAGGCTGGAAGGACGGAGAGAGCCCTGCAGGGGGGGGGGGTTTGCAGGTCAGGTCACTCAGCACCCAACACATCCCACAAGAAATAATGATAGGCAGGTAGAGGCACCTATTACCCACCTACCATGCCTACTGAGTACTTACCTAGGTAGGGACTGTTTGGAGGCAGCACTATTACCCACTACTACAGTAAGCACCACCATGACCAACATTATCATTATCACATCGTAACCCTTCTTCGCCTCCTCCGTTCTGCGCACCGCGTACGACTAACGATCAACTATCACCAACTACCGACTTGTCCTTCTCTCTTGGTCCTTCGCCCTCGCTCCTCACTCGTCCAAAATGTGATGGGGAAAAGATCTATCTCTATCTGATCCTTCCATCAAGTGGCCTGAGTCCATCACCTGACTGAACCTCTTCCTCTTTCCCTTGTCTCTATCCTCGATCATCTCCCGCCCATATGCCATGCCTGTCGCTATCCTCGTTTCGTTTCAACCATGTCCAACCCGTCTAGTGGAGCCAGGTCCGCTCGCTCTGCGTGTCGTTTCAGAATCACGTCTGGCGACCAACCATCGTCGACGCCGCAGTCAGCAAGCTTTGTCCAAACCCCTCTGACCCAAGCAACCGGGTTGCCCATTTCCAATGCTCTATGCTCCATGCAGGGGGTATGCTCCAACACTGCATCATCGTGCAGCCAGCTTTCTGTTCCAAAACGAAGACAAACTCGGAACGCGAATCTGATTCTAATCAAGTCCCCATCTTTCGGGGGCGGGTTCAGCACAAGATGGATTGCATTGCATTGCATTGCATTGCAGAGTCGGATTGTTGAAAACTTTTTTCAATTTTCAACATACTGTTGTGCCACGATGGGACACGACCAACGTCGATGTACCAGTAGGCTCCAGTACAACCAATTGCAGCTCATAGCATCCCCTTTTCGACCTGCTCCTTGCGCTCCTCCCATACTGTCTTCCCCGAACAGCTACACACGGTCTTATCATTGTCCCACACTCCGGCACTGCGAGCAATGACCCCGACTAGGATATCTGGATCTTCGGTCTGAAACGCTCCCTCTGGTGGTTGTTTCGACACCACCATGCTGCGACCGATAATCTCCCATGTTGACACCGGGCGATCCAGGAATGCGCTGCCTCGGCCATCCTGCTTCACCTCCACCGTCCCAAACATGCCGCGAGGCTGCCTGAAGCCCGCTAGTTCCTTGACAGCTTCCCAGATGCCACCTGTCGAGGCTGCCCCACGTGATATATCACCTGTCTCCCTTATCGTGGCATGATATGTTCCCGGCGACACCCCGCGTAATGTCAGGTCAACCAGGGTGTGACTGTCCGAGACTTGGACCATCCGTGCGAGGCCACGGACCGGATCTGACACGCCTTCTGCATGAGTTTCCAAGATGCACACACCGGCAGAGTTGGACTTCCCGCTGCCCCGTAAGATGGCATCCCGTCCCGTAGATTCAATGGCTGACACGATTGATGAAGGAGGGGCCGTTCCTTCAATGTAAAAAAGTTGGTCTTTAAGATTGGCTTGGATCTCGGTGATGCCTGAAAAACACACCGCGGACGTCAGTTCTGGCACCGCGAGCCTCGACGTCATGGTTTCTACCAAGTACCTTGTACTTTCTCCAAGGCGCCAGTCACATCCTGGACGCAGGAATCGCAGTGCAGAGGCACCGCAAAAGTTGTCTGTGCCGTGGTCAGCATATATGGGAAAGAGTCGGCAGGAGACGTGTGTTGTGGGCAATTCTCACCTGAAATGGCTGGATTTCCAGACTTCCCATTTTTGAACTCGTGGTGAAGGATTCAATGAGGGTCAAAGGTCAGACAAGCGGTTTGTTGTCGAATGGTCCTCAAGAATGCGGTTCAACGTGTCTAGCAGTTAATAATGCGCTGTGAAGATGCTTGGTAATAGTCAAATATTGCAAAAGTATGATATTGCGATAATACGTCGTATGCCCCGCAAAGATCCGCCACAGGCATTTTCTGCAAAGTGACGTTCGACCGACTTCGGAACCACAGCTGTGGATGTCAATGGCCCTATGGCGCCTTCCAGTTTCTCCGCCAGCCAAGACAGTCAGATAGTTTAATACAATCATAATATACATGAGACTTTTTTTTTGGCTGGTGAGTAGAGTTGTCTTGTCGAACATACTGATTGACACAGAAGTCAATCAGTTCCACCTTGGTCCCCCAATGTCTGAGTCTGCCTTAGTCTTTCTGCTTGTCACATCAAAAAACAAGAGAGCCCGAGGGCCAAAGTGGGCAGCGTCATGACCAGATGTCCCAATCCCGCCTTCTTGCCAACCTCGCGTGCTTTCTCGGAGGTGCCATCTCCTTGGGCGAACCACTGGGTGACGAGACCATCCCCTCCCCCAATAATGCTGCCCGTCAAGAAGATGATGCCCAGGCATCTTTTGGCTGTCAGGGCGGCCACCGGCGACGACTGGCACAACGGGGAGAAGCGCCAGAAGGCGGTGATGCCCACAATGGACATTCCACCAGCCAGGTTACGGAGGCCGCGGGTATAGGTCTGTGCTTGTTGCCAGGTCCGAAGTTCTGGGGACGTGTTCACCGAAGACGGGACGAGGATGCCAAACATGGTCTCAGCATCGACTGGGGCCCGGAAGCTGTAGAACCCAGTTGCGATGCCCACCGTACCCATCAACCCGGTGAGCGCTGGAAGAGCAGATGCTCGGAGGGAAGCCATGGTGGCATCTGGATTGTTCGATGACATTGCTTCGCGAGGCGGTTCTCTCTATGACAGAGTGGTGATGGCGAGCGATGCGCGGACAATCACTGACGCAAGTGTGTCAACAACTCGGTCCAAAATCATCAAGAAGAAGTAGTCGGGCACCTAGTGGCAACTAGTAGTCTTCGATTAGGTTTATAAATGTCTTCTTGAGGTTGGTGTCTGTCAGTCCCTTGATGCTCGTCAGGATCGTGGCCACATGATGTGATTGGGCAGCAACTACGGGCGGGTCCTGCACCTGGCTCGTCGGCTTGATCAACCGCGACCGTGTTGTTCACACTATCCGTAAGACCAGAATCTGGGAAATGGGGACCCGTCATGATCTTACCAAATGGGCTGTTTGCAATGGCATCAAGGTCAATGGCGTTGCGGCGCACAGGTTCCCTGGTAAAGGAATGGGTATCGTCGCCGAAAGGAGGCTTAAGGTAGGTCAAACAGATGCGTCGGCCGCTTGGAGCCTATCCTGACGGACACCAAGGCTGGAGAAGTAATACTGGACATCCCCATGTCTGTGATTCGGACAGCAGAGACGGTGCCTCAGACCGTCACCGAGGCCCTTCAAGGATGCAGTATCAACGGCCTCCTGGCTGCGGAATTGGCCACGGACGCGTCCGAGAGTCATGCCCTCTGGAGAGCGACGCTGCCATCGATGGAGGAATTGGACCAGTCAATGCCGCTTTTCTGGCCACCGGAACTCCAAGAGCTCCTCCCACAGCCAGCATTGGCGCTTCTGAGAAAGCAGCAAGGAAAGGTCTCGCGCGACTGGAATGTCGTTTCCGCAGCCTTTCCACAGCTATCGGACGACGCTTACCGCCACTATTGGCTTCTGGCGAGCACCAGGACTTTCTACTACACGCCCCCGGACATGAAGCCCGAAGACACGCCCGAAGCCGACGAGTGCCTGGCACTGGTTCCCTTTGGCGACTACTTCAACCACTCCGACGGCGGCTGCAAGGTCTCCTATTCGGCAACGGGATACGAGTTCAAGCTGGACCAAGCTGTCAGGAAGGGCGAGGAGCTGTACATCTCCTACGGCAACCATCCGAACGACTTCTTGTTGGTGGAATATGGCTTCATCCTGGCGGAGAATAAGTGGGATGAGGTATCCTTGGACACCGTCATCTTGCCCCTCTTCTCTGACAAGCAGAGCGAGATGTTGGAAGAGGCGGGCTACCTGGGCAACTACGTGTTGGAGACGCCGTCGATGCAGGACGACGAGGTGGCTTGCTATCGTACACGGGTTGCGCTGAGGTTGCTGTGCATGCCTTTGAAAACGTGGAACGAGGGTGTTATGTATGGGGTGGATGATGACGACGAGTACCAGAGCGCGGTCCATGGACTCCTCCGGCAAGCGCTGAAGGCATATGTAGACATTGTGGACAAGAGCCTCGAGCAAATTGCTCGGCTCGAAGTTGGGCTGGCTTCGCAAAGAGATGTGTTGAGACGGCGCTGGGAACAGATAGGGATATACTTGACGACCGCAATCGATAGATTAGAGCCATGACACACGTACCCGACATCCAAGAGCCAATATTTCAGAAGCAACAGATATCATCCGAGATATCGATACGTGAGGAAGTCCAAGCGCGCCAATATTCTTGTGGTCTGACGCGTTGAATATTATTTATCGCTGGTAGAAATGATCGTCTCATTTTGCGCGGGCGGGAAAAGGTTTCACAGCCTGCACTGCACTTACCAAGGACAGACGACAGCTCACCCGGGCTGCAACAGACTCCCGAATTTGCAACCCTCTGGCGAGTTCATGACTCCTGAGCACTGATATCGCAACATGGTCCCCAAACCATCCAAATGGGCCACTGACGACGCCGACCAAGAAACCGCCGTGGCGCTTGCAGAGCGGAGGAGGGAGAGAGCCGAAAGGAAAAGACTCAAGGAAAAGAAAGCTCGCAGCGCCGCTCTGTCCAGCTCCCAGCTCCCCACTCCTGCCGACGACAATGAGCGACCGAGCAAACGGCCACGAACATCTTTTGAGGAGGAAGAGAATGGATTGTCACCAATACTACAGCCACAAGTGGAAATCGAAGCTGAAGGGGCACATTTGCTGCAATTCCCTGCCGGACAATTCGGCCCATGCGGCCATGTCGATCAATTCGAGCTTCTGAACGACATCGAAGAAGGCTCCTATGGCGTCGTGTCGCGTGCGAAAAGGAAGGACACGGGCGAGATCGTGGCGTTGAAAAGATTGAAGATGGACCGTATAAACCAGGGCTTCCCCGTGACGGGACTGCGAGAGATACAGACACTTATGGCGTGCCGGGACGCGAACGTGGTCAAGCTGCTCGAGGTGGTCATGGGCGACAGTTTAAAGGAGTAAGTCTGAACTACCTACGGGGGCGACCCCGAACTCTTTGTCTCTCCTGAAAAGGCACGGATACCAGACGATGTTAACCATGTGGCCACGGGCATCCCGGCTCATAACAGTGTCTACCTCGTCATGGAGTTCCTGGAACACGACCTCCGCACCCTCCTCGACGACATGGCTGAGCCGTTCCTGCCCTCGGAGACCAAGACGCTCATGCTCCAGATCGTCTCGGGCATCGAGTACCTCCACGCAAACTGGATCCTGCATCGCGACCTGAAGACGTCGAATCTCCTCCTGAACAACCGCGGCGAAGTCAAGCTGGCAGACTTCGGCATGGCTCGATATACGTCCAACCCTGCCCCCCGACTGACTCAGCTGGTGGTCACGCTGTGGTACCGTGCCCCGGAGCTCCTGCTGGGAGCGGAAGAGTACGACTTTGAAGTCGACATATGGAGTCTCGGCTGCGTCTTCGCCGAGCTGCTCACCAAGGAACCCTTATTCCAGGGCAAGAACGAAGTCGACCAGCTCTCCAAGATCTTCACACTGGTGGGCACTCCTACGAGGGAGACGTGGCCTGGCTTCCGCTCCCTCCCCAACTCCAAGGCGCTACACCCTCTCCTGTCCCATCCCCAACGCGCAGCGCACCCGTCCCTCACGGCATCCAAGTTTCCGTACCTCACCGCCTCGGGTCTGCGCCTGCTCTCCGCCCTCCTCGCGCTGAACCCGTCTTCGCGCCCCCCAGCCATGGAGATCCTCAACCACCCTTATTTCACAGAAGATCCCCGCCCCAAGTCGCAGGAGATGTTCCCCACTTTCCCGAGCAAAGCAGGCCAGGAGAAGAGGAGGAGGAGAGACACGCCCCAGGCCCCCGTCAGAGGCGACGCACCGAAGCTAGACGAGAAGGAGGTCGAGGGCATTTTTAGGGGCTGGGACGCCGAGGCCGAGGAGAAGGGCGCCGGGTTCGCTCTCAGGCTGGGATAGAACCATGCCGGGTCTCATTCGGCAGGATAGACTGGATCAGCACAGCATGCCAGCCGATGCATTGCTCCATAGGTAGATACCTGTGTACTAGCGCTGCTAGGGGCTGCATGTTGGTTGCGCAACCCAATACCATTCATTGTATTGAGTCTAGATGGCCATTTGGGGGCTTCGCTCTATTGGATTTCTGGAAGTCTAACCAGACCCAAACTCTAGGGCGTATACGTAGATGCGTCCATCTTGATGCACATGAAATGCCTTCTCCGCATCTCTTTTCGACCTGGTGATCCTTCTTGATGGTCAGCATGTGCTCATATCTCTCATCATATGTCTGTCCGTGGCCTTTCTTTCCTTTCTCATCCCACTGTGTCTTCTCATCCAAAAACACGCCCTCCATCGGAGCAATTCGATCCTCACACCCACACATACATCCATACATCCGTTGCTCGTTAAAAACTTCATGGGCAAAATGCATTGATAACGCACATGAGTCAGTATGTCGTTCTTTACCCTGCTCCTGGTGCTCAACTGATTTGACGGAGGCAAGGAAAGAGAAGGTAAAGGCAAAGGTCAAGCCAAATGGGACAGAAAAGGGTGACACACCCTTTTCTCACTCCTCGACGTTTTCGAACAAGAAGGTGGGCTGGCCCGGCACAGCCGATTCGGCCATGTGCGGGAGACTCTGCCTGTTCTCGTCCGTGACGCTGACGACCTTGACGTCCTTGCAGCCGCTGCTCTTCATCAAGCCCTTCCTCATCTCGGTCAAGACGTGCACCTCGTCAAAAGGCAATTTCCGCTCGAACACGGCCGCCGGACTCTCCTTGTTCACCACGAGTCTCTTCTTGAGTGCCTGGACGAAGGGCATAGCTTTCTTCATTTCCGGGCCCTTGCCGATCTTTGCGACGGACGCGTTCAGAGCCTTGTCGTCATCCAGAGTTGCTTCCTCCAGCATGGAGCGGACCAGGTCGACATATTTATCCTGCCACTCGGGAAATCGCGACGCCACGAAGATCGTTATATGCTTCGGTTTGCGGGGGTCGAATACCACAGCCTTGCCCTTTGCCATTCGCTTGGCGGCCTGCGCTTCTGCGCTCGTGATGTTGCTGGATGTCGTCTTCACATATTCTCTCGCGGCGGTTAATGAGGGGTCTGCGTCGGGAACGTCAGTGGGCCAGTGGGCAAGTTGGATGGATTGGTCTTTGTGCAGAACTTCGAGCCAAATGTACTCGGCCCAGTGAGGAGCGATTGTGGAGATCAGGAGGCATTGCAATTCGACGTAGCGGAGGACGAGGGGCCACGAGAGAGGTATGCCACTGGAGAGACAGGCTTCGCGGTAGAAGTCACGGGCGGATTGGAAGTCGTAGAGAGCGGATTTGAGGGCGAGTTTGTAGTTTGTGCTAAGAAGCAACCGTTAGCATGATCCCAACCATAGTGGCATGGTAAAGTGGTTTTGGGGACTTACTCGGAGTAGTGCTGGTACGCTTCATGCACCAACAAATTCATTTCGTCCTCGAAAAGCTTGTCCCAAATGACCTCCCCTTGCGTCTTGCGGAGTCCTTCGTCCTTCAACGTATCCTCGATCCACTCCTTGAGAACGTACATCCGCATGATAGCGGCGTTGGCGCCTTTCTCTTCGAAATTCGCGTCTTCCATGCCGTCACCCGCATCAGCAAGAGCTATTCGTGTAGCGTCGGCTCCAAACTTCTTCACTGCTTGACTCAAGGTCAAAAAGTTTCCGGTGGATTTGCTCATTTTCTCCCCGTTGAGCAAGAGATGGCCGTTCGAGCGGACAGATCTCGGCCAATATTCGCGGGGGAAAAGGGCGAGATGGATGTAGAGGAAGAATGTAAGATGATTGGGGATCAGATCCTTTCCAGAGGATCTCAAGTCGAGAGGATACCAATACTCGAAAGACCGTCGCATGGTTTGCAGGTCCGCCACCGATATCTTTGTGGATTCCGAAACCTTCTTGACGTCGTTCGTCCGCGTGAAGATGTAATCCCAGACATCATCCGTCATTTGTTCCGCCTTGATGTTCAATAGCCCAGGCGTCTTGCCGAATTTGTCTCCGTGCAAGAAATGGGCGACCGTATAGTATGACATATAGATAGTGCTGTCGCTCAGACTTTCCACCAAAAACGAGGGATCCCACGGGAGTTTAGAGCCCAGACCATACGTCCTTGCACATGCCCATTGGTTCAACCACTCAAGGTTGGCAACGAACTGGTTTTCGGTTTCGTGGGTGTAGGTTTCAAGACCATTCTTGTCCTTTACATAGTCCAAAACCGTTTGTTGCCACTCTTTGTCGTTCTCGCCGTAATTCAGGAACCACTGTGGGACATCCGCAACTACACATTCATCTCCACTCCGACTGATGACTTCGGCTGAAGGATCGGCAAAAGGGAACGCTTCGCCAGATGCGATCAAGGAATTTCGGACTTTCTCTTTGGCGTCGGTGACCTTCTCGCCCTTGAATTCTCCGACCAACATCGTGCCGTTGTAGAAGCCTTCCTTGTACGCCAGGTCCTTTGCTTCAGCCAACAAAGTGGTGTCCTTCGGCGATTGGATCTTCTTCGTCTCGACCAGGTACTTCGCCGCCAGATTACCATAGGCTGGGGTATCAATAATAGGGATGATTTCCAGCTCAGCCCATTCTTTTTGTATGCCATAGAAGTCCGCCTTTTTAGCCAATTCTCTGACCGTGGCAAAATCATCCGGACTGTCAGACGGAACTGAAGTGACAACACCAGTGCCCTTTGTTGCAGATACCGTCTCCATAGGTAATATTCGAACGCCTTCTTTGTGTACCGATAGAGGCGCATTGACGAGAGTACCCACGAAGGCAGATCCAGACAATTCCACAACAGGCTTCAGCTCCTTTTGATCACGGGGAAAATGCTCCTCGTCAAAGAAAGTACCTTGAAAAGCCATATTCCAAGCCGCTCTCTTGGTGACCACGTAATATTCCTTCTCTGAGGCCTTGAAAATGCCGTAATTGATCTTCGGTCCAACGAAACAGCATACTTGACCGTACATAGTCTCCGGTCTTAAGGTCGCAGGCACGAAATAGACACTGGCGTCCGGGGGGATCTTAGACTCCACTGCCTTCGCTGCTCCGGGGGACCACTCCTTGACCTTCAATTTTAGAGCTGTGTACTCAGTTGGACCTACACCCTCACCTTTGGTCCGGTCGTGGTCCATACACGGTTGGCCGTCCTTAGGACTGTAGATCGTGTATCTCTTTCCGTACAGGATCTTGTTGAGCTCGTGCAAGCGATTCATCTGCCATCGTACAAAGGCGTCATAGTACGGATTTGCGTCGGTTGTGACAAACTTCCTCCTCCAATCTATCCTAGCTCCAAAATCGATCAGATCTTGTTGACATATTGGGGGGAAGTATTCGAGCCAGTAATTGGCGTCTGCGAACTTGTGGATCTCTTCCTTGGGTATTCCCATAGCAAGCATCGTCTGGAATTGGTAGTTAGCTTTGACCGTCTTTGCAGCCTGCTTGCCCTTCTTGCTCTTGAACTTGGTGAGGTCGTCCTTCACGTCGACTCCTTGTGTGGGCGCAACGGCAACTCCGTTCGATTCTGGTGCTGCCGCGTCCTCCTCTCCATGGAAGTACTCAAAATTTTGTCCGAACCTCTTCACGTCTTCGACGAGTTTGTCTGCACATGCTTTGATTGGCATGCCCGTACAATGAAACCCCAATGGGAACAGCACCCGCTTTCCGGTCAAGCGGTTGAAGCCCGCGGTGAACTCCACCTTGCTGACTGTAAAACTGTGTCCAGCATGTAGAGCACCATTCATGTACGGGTACGCGAAGGTGCCAAAGTACTTGGGGTATTTTTCTCGAATCTCCGCGGCGGGGACTGAGTCAAAGGGGATCTCGGTCGTTGTAGGCGCATCCGATTCGAAGATTTTGTTCTTCTGCCATTCTTTTTGGTATTTCTTTTCGATCGCGATCAGCACGTCTCGATTGTGTGTCTAGAAATCGTTGGTTAGTCGAGGATCTTGCTGCCCGTGTGCGAACGACTCACATTTTCAAGCTTGAGAGTGTTGGCTGAGGTAAGAGTCGGATCGACAGGTATTTGGGTCGCCATGATGGCAAAATCGAGTAGCAGTGAACGGTTCGGCCCTCCGATGTGTTAGTGAGGGTGAAAGTCGCTCTAGAGTGTTGGGTAGAAGTATGAAAACTGGCGGCGAATAGTTTACTATTTCGTCGACAGCCTCGCCGCCTTGTTGCGGAGTTGTAAGGCTGGTCACGTGGACTCAGCCTTGTCTTCCGTCGCGAGACAAGGCTGGATCCTCACCGCACATTCTGGTTCCTTCTGGAGCTCTATGTTGTGTGGCGTTGTTGGATTGATCAACTTTTTGGATAGCTTTGCGGTTCCAATACTGTGCGATTGACTACGCCTATTACACAGTAGGTGCGGGTTGAAGATTGCTGTCAAACAACCACCTATACAAGTACGAATGTCCGATCCATCCCCACCTATACCTTCTCTGTTAACCCAAGCAGATAAAATTCTGGCGTCCGCTACTCTCCTAGAGCTCAGGCGCTTCCCAAGATTCTCGGTCAATTTTCATGATAGCTGACTGCTTATGCGGGAAGCTAACCTCCCCTTGCTTGTAAAACCCAGCATCTTTCAGATAGTTGATAAATCTGTGTGCGCGGCCCGAGTTAGTCACCGAATTGCTTGCCAAAAGCTTTGGTAATTGGATGCCTTACTTTTCATTGTCGACCCTCGGCTCCAACATCACTGTCTCGGTTCGAGAGTCCGCGAGGAAGCAATAGTGTACCAGCGCAGACAACCAAACCTTGACTCGATGTGGGCCTCGGAACTCGCCCTCACCGATTAGCACATGTAACCCGCGCGTGTAATTGCCAACTTCTCCCCCGAGTAATCGGCCCAATCGGTCCTCTTTTACCCAATATATCTCAAAATAACCAAATGGTTTGCCGTCCCAGCAGCCGTAGAGAGGGAACGAGTGTCGGCTTTGGAGGCCGTCAACCAAGAATTTGTGCTGCGTACTTAGCGGCCCAGCGGCACCCCATGCCGAATTGACTCGAGGGTCATTCATCCACTTGTGTAGCAAATCCAAGTCAGACGGCCGATCGAGGAAGTTGTCCATCGTCGGCAATGTTGCTACGGATGCGGCCGCGGTGTGACTCGGCAGCACTGCCGGCATGGAAGATGACGCAGGCACAAAATGGGCTTGAGGACATGGTTTCGGGGACAGTGTTGGTACCCGGAAGGAAAGCCATTGACCAAGACTAGGAATATAGCGAGTATAAAATGATTCACCCTGGCGTGGCGGTTTGGGGCGTATCGGATGACGAATGTGGTTGGTAAAGGTGAACTGGGTGGGCGGAGGAGGGTAGAACGTAGGTAGATGGCTTCCAGAGTTAAAAGGCCCTCCAGGCGACCAGATGCCCGAACTGAAGGTGTCCGATATTGCTGTATTTGTCACATAGTCGGCAGGTCGTGGTGAGCCACGTTCAGGAACGGTCCGATCTGGTCGATCTGGTGAAGATGGCCGAGAAGGGTAGGGCGAGGCTTGAGGAAATGGGGAATGCGATTGCGGCGCCATTGTGTAGAGGAAGATCCTTGCATCGATCTGCCAAAATGACTTTCTGCTCACAAATGTCTCCGCCCAGCCACTGGGCAATCGAGTGTTGGTATCGGTGCCCACACAGGAGTCCTCGCTTGCTATTAAACCCATGCGTTCAAGTTTCTGCAGGGTGTTCTTCCCCTTGAAAATACCTTCTCTTTTTATTTTGATGCGCCAATCAAGCTTCGGTCGCCCTGCCTCTGGAGTCAACGCTGATGCCTCGGTGAGAGCGTGGGGGTTCGGAGGTTCCTTGTGGAAATACCAGCACAAAGTCGCCCAGAGCATCATCGCAATATGCCGGGTCGGCGAGGCGGTGTTTCTAAAGTCCGAACTCGACGGCATGGATATCGACGAGATAAAGAGGGAGTCGCTCTGGACGGTGGGTTTGGTAAATCGGTGGGTGACAGTATGCCTGTGTCCTGCGTCTTCCGTGTCTCCGCTGGGTTTGACTGACACCCTGCTGCTTCTGCGCTCTTCGTCTTCCAGCTCGTCTTCTGTCTGAAGGATCACGGTCCATCCCGGGGGCATTGCCGAATGATGCAAATCGAGGTTGGTCGATTTGAATGTGAAACCGCCGAAGACGGGAGTGACTGTATATATCTGCCTGCCAGGTCCTGTTAGCTTGCACCAAGCATGCTGGAGACCCGCGACATCGAACAAAACTCTCGAAAACACGGAGTGCTTTCTCGAGGGAGGGGCAACTTACCCATTGGGCAGATAGACGTGCTGAACCATGATGGGGTTAACTCTTCAGGGCATGATAGCGACAGAACAGGGAGAACGGTTCGATTTGGTGTGGAAGAGGACTAGTAATTGATTGATGCGAAGCTTGTACATAGGAATGTCAAAACCACACTTGTGGATTTTGTCGACCTCTGTTTTGCCGATCTCAACGATTACCGCGGATTTTCGACCACTGTGGAGGCTAGCGAGCTCCAACCTCCCAGGAAGCGACAAAGGAGGAGGAGGGACTCTGAGCAGAACTCACCCGAGCTACACAGCACACTAAATCAGTTGTACATTGAGGAGCAGGAAACAGCCACCTGGAAGAGATTTCAAACCCCTACAATGACCTTGCCACTATACTGCGCTCGGCCTATTTTTTGCTTATCGAAAGACAACTCGAGTTTGTTTTGTCTCCAGCAGCCTTTTCTCTCCAACAAGGTCACGGGCCCATTGTCGCCAAAGGGGGGGGGAATGACGTTGGGAGTACTGGGTATGTCTGTGCCGTTCAGGAACAATGTCCACTGTGCCCCGCCACCTTGGAATCGGCTGCCGCTAGCCTGGGTTGACTGGATTGACAGTGGACAGCTTGCCAGTGACAAGAGAGGCATTTGGGGTGATAAGCGGCGAGGGGTGACTGGAGGAGGCGGGGCAGATCCGCAAGGGTCAGTACATACGAGTACTCGGTAAACAAAAAAAAAAAGGAAAAGAAAAAAAAGGGGGGGGGGCCGGGGACCCAGCTTTGAATGCCACAGTCTGACAAGCCGCGTTTTGAGAATCAACGAGGTCAGGCCAAGTTACGCCCAACGACTTCTAATGAATTGCTGGATAGCCACAATGTTTCGCTGTTCTCGCTAACCACCTTCTTACTGTATCATCTGCCGCCCTCAGGAACATACCATGTCCTACCTGATATAAACACTATGTCCCTAAAGATATCTATTCATACTGTCAGGATTGGTACCTGCATATGCGTCTATGGTTGACTGGAGTGCCCAATCACTTGAACACAATTCTTTATGCCTCATGTGGGAATCTAAAGAGGAAAAAAAAAACAACAACAACAAAGGGAATGCTCTGCCCAACAGTGATACGCCATCGTGGCAAACAGCCCAACAGAAAAAGGGAAAAGGGCCGAGGACGAGGAGGTCGTCGTCCCAACCAACGCACAACTTTCTCCAGTGCAACCTAGAAATCCTCAATGGTCACACCAACGTCCCTCTCCTTGCCCATTCGTATGATATCGCCAGCAACCACCAGATCCAGCAGCCCCATACCCACGCTCTTGTAGATGACGTTGCCCTTGGTCAGCCAGTCGATGAGCCCTTGCTCGCCCGGTCCCCCAAGCTCTATCTCCCTGGTTGCGGCCTTCTTGATCATCATGAGCTCTCCAATCTCAACTAAATGCTCCGGCTTCAATTTCGCCTTGACGATCTCACCTGCTTCCCTCAAGCACGATTCTAGGCTGTCGACAATAACCACTCCGCCCTGCCTAGCGTGTCGGTGATGATGATGGCCCCCGTGGTTGGGTTCAACGGCAACTTTCATGATGTCGGGATGAAGCTCGCACATGTGTGGAGCGTATGAACCAATGGCAACAATATACCTGCCTTTCCTGCGGCCTTCGCGCGATGTCAGGAACTCGGCCGGAAATAGGGGATCGACGGACGGGGTGCAGCAGAAAATGACATCTGCTTTTCGAACTTCCTCCTTCAGGAGCCGGCCATATTCGCCAAATTCGGGGCTCATGGCTGAGAATTTGATGTCTTTGCGCCATTGCTCATTCGACTCCTGTGTCATCTGGAATGCTTTCATCAACTTGATAGACCTCTCGAAGTTGCGGTTGATGATGTTGACATGTCGGATCTGGTCGCCCTTGAGCATCAGTGCCAACCTGATGTGCCAATATGCTTGTTTTCCTGCACCAAAGACAGTCACAGTGTGGACATTCTGGCGCTTCTTAAGCATCAGAGTGGAAGCCAACGCCGTTCTGAAAGCTGTGAGTTCTTCGGCATTAACGATACCCATGGGGTTCCCAGTGGAGTCGAGTAGAGTGACGGACCCCTTTGGTGTGGTGCTTTGGGAGCTGACAACCGAAGTCGGGGCTTGGAACGAAGAGCCATCGATTGAGTCGCTCCCTGATGACATGGTGGATGACGGTGTGAGGGTCATGGAGCCGAAGTCATTCGTTGCAGACCTGACCGAGGTAGAGGACGACATGCTGCCTGAAGCGGTTGCAAGGCTTTCAGAGGTGCCGGACGAGACTGAAGATTTGCTGTGAACGGGGGTGTCGGGTTGCTGGAGCGAAACGATCTTCATTCCTACAGAGGTCCCCGTGGACGCTGGCATGAAGAGGGTGGTGACGCCATTCTTCTTGATAACTGTCCGCTGTGGCTGGAAAGATGCGCAGCAGGGGGAGTTGGTGTCACCTGTCGAATATGAGTGGAGGGCTTCAGCAAGGTTGGATTGGAGTTCGTCGATGTCCTCCTTTGTTAGGGTATAGAGCAGTTCTCGGACATCAGAATCGGAAAGGACGGTTAGGGGCATGTTTGGCCTGGAGATACCCTAACGATGGTGCCTATCGACGTAGTGGAGGAGATATGGTGTATGTACTTCTATGGCCAGTCCTAATGTCTTCTGGAGGGGGGATCCGTGCCCAGGTCAGAGTTTCCAGCAACTTACTCTAGTTTCCCTCGCAATGGATGATGAGCCTAGAAGAAACAAACTTGACCGGATAAAATATGTAGTGAGCCTGTGAGGTTGAGGTTGAGGTTTGCTGATGCGACATGTGGCAATGTTTAATGGCAGGGGCAATGATCATGATCACAGGTACCAAGACAATGACTAACAACCTCCGGCTACGACGATTGGCCCAAGTCGAGGCACATGTCTCTCAGAGTGAGCACGCCTGGTTTAACTAATGCCACGAGTCGCTTGGCTTGCTTAGGCTAGCAGGTGAGTGGACTTAGGTGCCCTTGGGTGCCCCCCAGGCCTCCCTAGCCCTCCAGCGCCGATACTGTACAAGGACTTGTAAAGGATAACGTCCAGGTATGAACACCGCCAATAGCAGCCCACTCACCCGCCCACGTTAACTAATGCTCCCTATCTCGCCTTGCTTGCCACACATGAACCGCCCAACATCCTCTTCAACATCAGTCACCAAGCTGACAACCTCTCTCATTATTTCTTCCTATTCTTGTCAAAATTGCGTTCCAATCACTACAGGCCCGGTCTAGACCAAGCGCCTAGTTTCAATGTAACATTCTCGCTTTTCAATTGTCGCTTTCGCATTAACAGAAGATAATCTCATTATCGGCCTGGATAGTCAAAGGTTGGTGTCCAAGTATCGGCGCATGCTGTTCCCTACCGTGCCATGCGCCGAGAGCCTAAGCTCAGCAAATATCTCCAGCTATCTGTTCCGCTGCTACCCCTATCAATTCTTCTTGAGGTTCCCTGCGGGCAAAAGCATGGATATTCGACTGCTTGATGGGCTGGGGACTGCTGCTCCACAGTGGCAAAAGATACGAAGTACCAACGCGAGAAGAAGGTCGAGGCTCGGGACGAATGTTTCGGCGCTCTTCTTGACTTCAAGTCACGCGTCCGGAACGAGACGACGCAAGCGAAGGATCGCATGATTTTATTTACTCCGAGACGCATGGCTGACGTCGCTGCACTGGCTCTAAGATATTGTTCCTAGCTGACGCTGGTCTTAAGCCAGCAAGCCTTGCATACCCATCAGATCCAAGCTTTTGGTATATCCGATACGCGACGGATGTCAATAAATCAAACGGATAGATCTTCGTCCAGGCCAGTCTCATCCGCAATCAGGAGTCAGAAACCCGTATTTCCTCGTCTTTTTCGTTCAGCTGTACTTTTCGGCCGCTCCAACGGCCGTAGTGTAGACTCGCACGAAACAAAACGGTTATGTAAGCCTGGTCTAACCAATTAGGGTTAGATCAGCCTCGTGTCTAAGATCCATCGGAGCAACTCTGATTTGAGGTTCGTCGCACAGCGCACACCACTTCATACCATCCAGCCTTGCCAGGTCGCACCTCTTGCTCGCACTTGATGCTCAATCGGGCTATTTGCCATAAGGCAGAGTCTCCAAATCGTGTTGATGTGGCCAAATCTTCGCGGACGCTATATTGTTGTTATTGTCATTAGCTGCTCACCCGCGCTGGCGTTGGCGCTGGGTTGAACGTTTACGAGATTCTCACCGGATACCACTAAAATTTGGGCACCCTTCTGCGCGGTTCAGTGTCCTCTGCTCCAACTTCGGGTGAATTACACTGCCGACTCTGAAGATGGGTTGCTGCCTTTTTGTGTCAGAATTCGGACCTGTCAATCATACGGACGCTATATTCTGATCTTGCACAGCCTCTACTGTTCCCTTACGCTGGCAAGTCTTCATCTCTCAGCGCGGGTCCAGGTATCTTGGCGCGAGGATACTGGCCCTCCTCAGCCTACCATCGCAGAATGACCAGATCTCGCGAGAAAGACTCGAATTAATGTGGCGATGCTGGGGACAGTACACAACTGACGTTGCATTGATATGACTTGTCGAGCTCGGAGAATGCCCTTACTGATAAATAGTCTAAGCTACCATGCCTATATCTCCACAACGCGGTGGCAAGTAACAGCGAATTCTCCAAGGCGACGGCCAGGCCGAAAGCCCCAAGTCCTCGTGCTTGCTTATGAAAGCGGTCTATAACAAGGGCCTATTCCGAAAGAGCTATGATCTCCTGCGCTATCCTGCTGCAGAGAGCTGCATCTCTCAGTAGCGAGTCAATGCCCTGGAGCGCCAAGTCGAGAACGGTTATGAAATTGTGGCCTAGCACCAATCATGCTCTTTCGGGGCAACATGATAGACACGATTGGAAAAAGGCTTGTTCAGGGTCACAACACCAGTGCCGTCTATGTGACGACGGCGCTCGCTGACCAAGCCCCCTGAGTAAGTAATGCAATCTACCGTGTTTTGTTTCTGACTATATTTCCACGGCAGTACAGTACGGCCGAACTATTCGGGAAGTCGGTCTGATATTGTCTCTGGCACCACTTCATGCTCTCAATGGTATAAGAGGCTTCTGGAGTCGCAGTCACAAGCAGTTGCACCAAGATAGTTTCCCACTGCCATCCAACGCTTTTTCTATTTCTTAATGTCCCGCCGGGTCACCTATCAAATGGCTAGTTTTCTCAGGGATACCCCCCTAGGTCAACTAATTCGACTAGTTTCAGGAGGCCGCCTTCTGAAATACACAGAAGATGGAAACGGGCTTGAAATGTTGCGGAACAGGAGATTGCAACATGCAGATCGGACTACTCAAGCTCCTGTCAACGCCGAAGCCGACCCTGAAGTCCTTGCAAAGAAAGGCACGAACGCCGATGACCTCGTCCTAGTCGACTGGTACAGCCCGACAGATCCTGAAAACCCGCGGAACTTCTCAACGGCGAAGAAACTATGGACCAGCTTCATCATTTTGTATGTGGAAGGCCCTCTTCTGTCTCTCGACCCGGCAGAGAGAATATTTCTCCCTCTGCAGAATCTCACCTGCTGACCTTAGCTACGGATAGTATCTACACATTTGTCGTCTACTGCACCTCGTCTATCACAACACCGTCCTACGCGTACATCGCGCCTCAGCACGGCCTCAATGAGACCTCTGTCTCCTTGATCCTCGCTCTATACGTTCTCGGCTATGCTTTAGGTCCCTTGCTGTTTGCCCCATTGTCGGAAATACCGTGGATCGGTCGCAATATCCCATACTGGGCCTCCTTCCTCCCTTTCCTCGCCTTCTCAATAGCTCTCACACAAGTGCAAGATCTCAACTTTGCCACCATATGCATTCTACGCTTTCTTCAAGGCTACTTCGGGTCCCCGATCCTTGCAACGGGTGCGGCTTCCTACGACGACATTTTTGATGAGTTTGAATCACCATACGGCTACATGATTTGGCTCGGTGCAATGTACGCTGGTCCTGCGGTCGGTCCACTCCTATCAGGCTACGCCGTCGTGAGGGACTTCAGATGGCCATACTGGGAGGTGGCGATCATGGCAGGCGGCCTGGTCCCACTGATTCTTTTGCTGCCAGAGACGAGCGCGGATTATATACTGCTTCAACGGGCAAAGCGCATGAGAAAATTCACAGGTGAACCAAAATATCGGGCTCCGTCAGAAATCAAGAGAGTGCGCGTTGCGAAAGTGTTTATAGACGCCCTCATTAAACCGACAGAGATCGCAATGAAGGATCCAGCTATTGCCTTCGTCACCGTATACGGCGGTGTCGTGTATGCGACCTACTACTCGTATTTCGAGGTACGTCTTGCCTATTTTCAGTTATTCAGGAACTCCGTCCTCGAATGAAGTGCCAAATAGAGTCTGAGGATACCTTCCCACTGACCAAGAACTACTGCAGGCCTTCCCACTCGTCTACCACGACAGGTATGGCTTCTCTGCTGGTGCCATAGGACTGATATTTCTCTCCGCAATCATTGGTGCCGGAATCTGCGCCGTTATCTATGCTATTTACCTCCAGCTCTACTTCACCCCCCGGGCTCGTGCAGATGTCAAAAAAGTCGCTTCGGCTGCCGCCGCTGCGAGCAACGACGCAAGCCAACCTCAATCTCTCGCCACAAGTCCAGAAAGAGTGCACATCAACGCGGCCATCCCGCAAGAACGATGGCTGATTCCCTCCATGCCATTCAGCGTGCTCTGCCCAGCAGGTCTGTTCCTCTTCGCCTGGACTGCTACGGCCACCTCGCACGATGCCAACGGTATTGAACATCCGACATTCCACTGGATAGTCCCAACGATCGGCATAGCGCTCTTCTCCGGCGGCAGCTACGTCGTGTTCCAATGCACAATCATCTACATCTCCCTGTCCTACCGGAAATACTTTGCCTCCTTGTCCGCGACGTACGACATGTCGCGAGGATCCTTGGCTGCTGGCGTGGTCATGGGTAGTCGAGCAGTCTTTGTCAGTTGGGGTGTGGACAAGGGCGTAAGCGTCCTCGCCGGCGTCAGTGCCGCTGGGGTGCTGGGCATGGCGTATCTGTGGAGATATGGGGCGATGCTGAGGTCGAGGAGTAGGTTTGCGGAGCGTTAGAATGAAAATGAAAACAGGGACATGCAAGTGGACCCGAGGTGAGGGAGATATCTATGCGCCGAAGTGGCACAGCGGAAAAAGAGAAGAAAAAAAGATGGGAGGCGTGGCAGTTTCGCCGTCGCACGCATTGGTTCGGGGTGTCTACTCAAGGGAATCTCGTAGCCTCTTTCTTTTCCTTTCCTTTTCCTTTGTTATCTTTCCTGGCGATACACGGAGGGGTTACATTCTTCCACAGGACAATTCCTGGATCCTAAGACACCCCTGAGTACATGGAAGTATGTACGGGGCATATAGATGGATGGCTGGGAAAGGACACACTACCTTTCGATTAGACCCTGCTTAATGAATGAATGTTGAATATCGGATATTGAACAGTGATTTATTGAATACACGTGACATTTCACACGACGGCAGGAAACAGTGCTCTTCGTCCGATCCTCTACACGTATCTCTATCGAGTAGTTACAGTAAAAGGTGGGTGCTTTATCGCTATCGGGCGCTCTTCAACTGCGCTGGGTACAACGTGCGTTCCACCGCTACAATCACTGCATATGCTTGCTAGAGTCTTGCATAAGGTGGCCACGGAGCCTAGAAGGGCCTTACTTCACCTGACTTTGGGCTCTGTACTCGGTACAGGCTTGCTATGGACCTGATAATCTTCTCAATAAAGTTCATTGTCATCGACATTTGTGTTGGTCTCAGTCGAGGATATCTAATCTTCGCCATTTCAGGCGGCCTAAAATGTACACTGCACTATCTCTCCGGCCTCACCGATACCCCGTCGAGCAGAGCCCGCATGCTCGGGCCAAGGCTGGGGTAGGGAAGAAATGAGACAAGGAGACAACGATTAGACAAAAAGGGACATCGTGAGCCATCATGGGACCTACTTCATCGGACTCCACAGATCCTCATCCGAGAGCACCAAGTCGTCTTCAGTCAGCACCTTCAACCCTTCCTTCTTCCTGTTCTTCTTCATCTCCTTCTTGGTCACGAGTGACCGGGGCGTAACCGGTGTCATTGGTGTGTAAGGCATGTAGGGACTATAGGGAGTCTGAGGCATCCCCGTCTTCGGGTGCACGCCCAGGACACTCTCCCGACGGTCCACGAAAGTGGTTTTGGTTGCAGGTGCGCTCTTCAGTGCATCATTGTAGAATTGACGGAAGGGTAAGCTATTGGAGCTGTTGGACGCTGCAGTACTGCGGAGAGACAAAGGTGCCGGGGGACCTTTCTTCTCAATTTCCTCAACGACTGTCACGGCGGACTTTTGGCCTGGTGTTGGTGGAGCTGGACCCGGGTTATAAATGCGAGGGGACGAAATAGCATTCTCTGAATACATGGAGGGGTCCGTGAGAGTGGCGGAACCTAGTGGCTGTGAGATGGGCTGACCGCGGACCGAGATATTACTCGGGCGCTTCTTGGTTTGATCGGCCGAATCACTGCGGCCTGAGATGAAGGACAAAGGCGACACCTTCTTTCGGCTGCTGGTCTGTGACCCTGTCCTTGTTGAGGGAGCATCGTCAGCAGGAGTGGGTGCAAGAGGGTGAACCAATGCCTGTGCCACTGGTTGAATGCCGTGGTCCTGAGCTTCCGTGTCGGGATATCGCAGATGCTGAAACTCTGGAGGATATCGCGGCGACCTTGGTGAGGCCGGCCCATTCAGATTGAGATTGGGCTGGTAGTAAGGTGACCTCGGAGTTGATGGCAGATGATGAGGTGACCGGGGTGTGGGCGGAGCATTGTATTGGGGTGGGTAATTGGGCGTCCGAGGCGAGGTGTGTCCGCTGCTTCTGGCTTTTTCTTCGTCGTGTGCCATAACAACAGCATACAGCCTTGCCATTTCATCCCTGTTCTTTGCCTTGTCGGCCTCGATGATCTTCTCGTCGATAGTGGAAGAAACACTGATGCTGGACTGTTTATGGGAATGTGATTTGCCGGTAGCCCAAGATCTGAGGCTGGCCATCTTACCAGGGCTCTTTAAAGGCGGTTCGACATTCATCTTGGGCTGATTGGTGAGTGGACCTGGCTTGATGATCTCCATACTGAGACTGCGGTTCGAGGTCTGGACTCTGCGGCGCAATTTCTTGCCAACAAGGAAAAGCAGCACAAGAGTGATGATCAGCCAAACCACATAGGCGCCAACTATGCCAATGATCTCGTATTTGAGCTTGGACTTGTCTCGAAGGGCACCAGCGGAGAGGGGAGGGCCTTGGTCTGGCGGAGGGGCAGGGTCTCTGTCGATATCGACGTCCCAGATAGAATGTGGCCGAGCAGCAGTGGGTGGGATGATGAGGACAGAGACAAAGATGAGAATCGAGAGGGTCAAGAGCGAAGAGGAGCAACTCATCTTTGTAGGCGGATCAAGCTGTCGACATGATCCAGCGCCGCGAGCCTGAAACAGCTGACCCCCTGGCCGAGAGGGACATGAAGCAGCTGGTTGCACGTTAAAGAGCGATCACGGCGGTAGATGTACCTGACCATGGTTGCTGAGGAGCGGCCAGCAAGCCGCCTGTTGTGATGATTGGTACAAGGTGAGAAGTGGAAAGCTGTGAAGGCGAGTGAAAACGAGGATGCGGTCTGCAGGGTGAAGCACGGCGGCGGGCAAATCACAGAGCGAAGCACCCAAGTGCCCAAGAAGGGAGGGCCTCTAGGCCCCAAGCAAGCCCCCCGGGGCTGTTGGATTGGCCTATGGGGGTGCTCGGGTGCCTGGAGGGCGGAGACCCTAGGCGGAGGGACCATTGAGGGGCTCACCGGGGCTCTAACTGGAATGGTCCAAGATTCGGCCATCTGACAGCCTGGGCCTCCATTCACATCCTATTTTTAAGCGCCCGGAAACATTGCAATGTGGGCTGCTCGAATCCAACCTCGTCCCAATTGTTTCTATCACACGGCACCAACGGCAGAGCAGCAGTTCACCGGGAAATTCCAAGTTATCGAGTCCAGATCCCTGAATCCTGCATCCTGCATCCTGCATCATACTGCCTTGTGTGCTTCGAGTGTCACTAGTACCACCGTATGCCTCCCGAAAGAGCCATCTCCCTTTGCAGGCTTCACCAATACCGTGCCCGCAAATTGTGCCATCACACAGTACCTGTTCCCTCAAGAATGTCCGCGTCCACCAATGCTCGCTGACCCATGAATCGAAGTGCGTACTGGCCCGAACCTCTTTCGTCTTTCTCTCCCGAGCCGACAATACCCAACACAATACGAGACCGCAGCATCTTCCCTTCGCGAGTGATTGTGGTGACTTCGAGTGCTGGTAGTGTCCCCCATTGCTCCGATAGACGCCGCCAGCGGTGCCGACACCTTGGTCCGCGATTCGGAATTTTTACTCATTGCTCTCTGTCATTCGTTTCCCTCGAAGACACGGACTAGCAGTGAATGTCTTTCAGGGCTAAGTTGTCGTTCAGTTAGCGAATTCCAATAGCGCCGCCCCCGAGCTGGTAGAACTATTGGACCTCACTGATGTATTCGAAAACGGGGGATGGCCTCACTGCCAGCACGCACCTGAATTGAGCCTTTTTTGCAATGCTCGATCCTCATCACACACAGGCGCATGTGACAGTCTATTTGTGGGTTGCATTTTCTGTTCATATCAAAAATCGTCTTTGCGTAGAAGTCCGCAGTGAGGTGTGTGAACACCAGGTTCGACAGATCGCTGATCGCGCTGCCCGGGGTCAACTCCCATGGCAAACTGAGATGTTCTCTCCACAGGCGGTCCTTTCGGAACTGGTGTTCAGCTGCCGGGGCTCAAGATTTCGTGCCTCGGGAGCTGCAGGATTCAATCTGAGGGATTTCCGAGATGTGGCACCTTTTTTTCACCCACATCTGAGGTCGAAATTCACCTCCAGCTCCTTCCTGAACCAGTGGCCCATCTAAGACTAGCAAATCCTGTGCCTCTCCCGATGGAGCCGGTAGAGTCGTTGGCATTGACAGCTTTTCGTTTCCCCTTGACACCCTCAGTTGTTCTGACACCATCCACAATCTTGTCCAGGTTTGTCTCGACAACAACACCTCCGACGACCATTTCGCTAAGAACGGCGTGCAAAGTTTCGAACCCGAAAATCAGATCGAGTTCGCAGACATTCTCAAACAGTCTGTCCAGAGCCTCGACAAACACCTGGATGAAGTCCAGCAATGCTAGAGGAGACTCGGTGGAGGTCGAGATCAAGATGAAGTAGAGAGTGGCATAATGGCGATAGGTGATTTGGGTGGGTGCGTCTGGTGAAGTGTTGGTGCCCGTGCCGGTGGGAGCCAACAAGGGAGGAAGAGGCAGGAAGTTGCAGGCAGAAGCTGGTCGAGCTGACACAAGGTTGAATATCTGGGAGAGCAGAGACTGCTGAGTCGCCGTGTCCTAAAGACCTACAATCAGCACTTGCGGTGTTTGGTTCAACAGATCCCACGTTACTAGTTGAGAATAGAACTTTGTCAGTCTCGGTTGGCCGTTATTGTTGAAGACCAGAACAGCGTTGATCATCGTGGACGATACGGCGACACGAGGAGCTAGGTTGAGAGAGAATGAAGCTAACCAGTTCGCAGATGAGATACACACGAACGCTGCTTTGTAGGTCGAGCGTCTTGGGTGTCTTGAATGTCTTGAGCGTCCCAGGGCGTCCTCTTCCCACAAAGTCACCGTGTGGGGGAACGGGAAACGGGAACCGGCGAGCTGGACCGGGGTGTTCAATAATAATTGGCGGGATCGGGCTTCCCTTTTTGACACGCGCATCTTCAAAATTTCCAAACCTCCAAGTCGCTGCGCTGCATTTTGAGGTCCAGTACCTCACACCTCAGTACAGAATACCTGTCACTGACACACGTCTCTTTCCAAAATTGCCTCGATACGTCCACAGCCCCCTCCATGCAATGAGATGCAAATCTTCACCTGCTTCACTTGCCGGTTGGTCTCTCGATCTCGTCTTCGTCAACGGCTGGTCGAGCTCCAAAACGGCCGGCGCAAGTTGTCTTCCACTCGTTTCCAACATCAGGATTCACCCTCAGAGGTGGCAGGGTCGTGGTACTGGGACACCACTCCTCCGACCAAGGAGAACTTAGCCGCAGCGGCGCACTTTTTCAAAAATCACAAGCCTTCGAGAGCATGGACTGGGACTAATTGGAAAACTTCGGAACCATGGCGGCGCTCCTCAAAAGCCTCACAGCAAAACATGCTAGTGCCAGAAGTCATCTTTCTCGGCCGGTCTAATGTTGGCAAATCGACTTTGATCAACGCCCTTACCTCCTCTGACCTGAATCGAGTCGGTGCGACTCCTGGAATGACTCAAGTCATGGCCGCGTGGGCTTTGGCAGCAAGAGATGACACAGGCGGGGCTGTAAAAGGATGGGATGGAGATGTCAACCCCAAAGTCACCCTTGTCGACATGCCCGGATATGGCTTTGGTAGCAGGTCCGAATGGGGTGCCCAGATTGTGTCATACTTGAACAACCGGAGAAATCTGAGAAGGGCATTTCTGCTTGTCGACAGTGGACACGGCGTCATGGCTGCTGACCGTCACATGCTGGAGATCTTCCACAAGCTCGGTATCCCCTTCCAGATTGTTGCAACAAAGTGTGATCGATTGAACTCGAAAGTGTCAGAGAGCGACATCCGTGAAGCATTGACTAGACTTCGCAGTCAGGCCAACTTCGAAAGCCAATCCGCATTAATGCTGGGTGAAATGATCGCGGTTGGATCGCTCGAGGACATCGCGACTACGAAAGGGGCGAATGAAAACGCCCTCGGCGTCAAGAATCTGCAATGGGCAATTCTCAGGGCCGCGAACCTGGAATGGTATGCCATGGAAAAAGCCGCGGCACACAAAGTCATAGATAAAAATGCCTTGAGTCGCCCCAGTCCAAACGGCACCGAGATATCTCATTTGATCCAGGGAAATGGAACCGACTCTGAACCTACACAGTTGACAGAAAGTGCATCGAAATCACTCCCGAATCTCAGTCTACAGGAATTCATGCGCGAGATCTTAGGAACTGGCTCGGAAGCAAGGGCCTCAGCATCACCTGAACCTCAAGGCCACCGCGAGTCACCTCGAGTTTTTGAGTCTTTGAGGAAATTTGCGGGACCCAAGTCTGAAGGGGCTAACCAGGCCGCATCTTTGCACGATCAACTTGATTTTGTGTATAGAGAATTGAATTCTCGAGGCCACCCCAAGTCCAAGGGCGCGAATACTATTCCCGAACAAGAAACGACCGCCCACGAAACCATGAGTCTACCATCGTCTAGGCCTGCATCTCTTCCTTCTCCTTCTAAGGGATCTACACAAGTGCCTGTTCACGGCAAAAGCGTCTCCCAGGGTAACGATGCCCTTGAAGCGATGTTCGTCGAGCCCTCTAAACCATCCAAGTCGAAGAAACAACAGCAGCCCCAACCCATTCATCAACGACCTCAAAACCGCGCGGCAGGAGCACCGAGCTTCAGTTCGCTGGGACCAAAAACTTCTGCGCCCCAACCTACGCAGCAACAGCAACCTGGTTTTATTGGGAAGGGCGTCTCACAGGGTTTGGATGCCTTTGAAGCTATGTTCGCCGAGCCGCCCAAACAACCGTCCAAGTCGAACAAAAAGCAACAACAGCCTCAAACTCGACGCCGCCGTCAGAGAAACTCGGGGCCCCAAAATGAACCGCAGCCCCCACCTCGCGAAAAACCGGCTATGATGGGCAAAGGCGTAACTCAAGGCATTGACGCTTTTGAATCAATGTTCTCCGAACCCTCCTCCGGCTCTGGAGGAAGTCCGAACTCGAAGAAGAGGAAGAGGCGGCAATAGAGAACCAAAAATAAGGGTTTAGCAAGAGGGATAGCAGGAGCAGCGGACTGGATTGGGGCCCGGCCGTCTCTGGAGAGGGCGAGCACGCACTACCATAGCCTAGGATGTTACCATATTCCGTCCTCGACTTGGAGCTTGTAATGGGGCAGGAATAGAAGCCATGTAACGGACTAAGGCTGAAGAGCCATGTACTCAATATTCACCCCAACACCGCTTTTGTAATTAGAACTTGAATGGCTCTCATAACGGACAATCCTCGCCATGCTCTCCATCTTCCATTCGGCAACAGTCCACAATTAAAAATCACACGACGATGAGGGTTCGGAATGACGGTAAACATGTGCAGTGCGTCTGTATTCGTAAGATTTGCTATGTGTTGCGAGCCGATAACGCCCTCAAGCCTGGGCCTCGGGGAATCTTGGGCTCGCCCGTTGAGCAGCTCAACCAACGACACCACCATGCAGTATTGAAGTTTCTGCAAGGAAAAAAAATATATCCACGGAAAAGCATTATGTTCATCCTGGTCCGAGACGAGATCTCGCCATGCAGCAACGCCTCATTTTCTTCCTATTCAAACCCAGGTCATCTCGCCAACATCTGGCTGACAAGACAGCCCGAGAACCAGACGCAGTCGTTGTTGTGCCATAATCACATTGGTGAAGTTGGTATTTCGTGGTCCTCCAAGCCTCCAGTTGGCTGTCAAAGATTTCATCATCAAGCAAAATCATTAAACCCAGACTGTCATGTTGTTTGGGGTTACCCAGACGTTAAATGAGCGGCCGAGTCATGATCCATCAACAAGGTGTACCCCCTCTTGCTTCTTAGCATCGTTTCAAACACCCAATTCTATCTCTTCGAGATCTCGATTGTTGGCTTGGAAGCATATCATGAATCAACAGTGCCGTCCAGATCCAAATATCCACCGTCGTGATTGACTTCTATCCCATCAGTGTTGACTACGATCCGTCGACCCAGATTGTAATCAGGGACGCCATCACGGGCGGCGCCATAGTCTAGAACCTGCAAAGGAAGTCAGCTAGCTTGAACCAAAAAGTCCGAGAATCAGAAGCTACCTCTATGAATGTCAATCCATCTCGCTGCACTGCTGCAACGCAGCGTCTCTCGTTGAATCGGACCTGCCACACGCCACTGAGACCGGACAGGAGGTCCTTGACACATTCGCCGGTTTTGATGTTCCACAACTTCAAAGTCCTGTCGGAGCCGGATATGACTTTCTGGCCGTCATGTTTGAAGCAGGTGATAGCACCTGTATGTGCGCTCAGAGTAGCCTTCCACTGTCCAGTCTCTGGGTCCCATATTCGGAGGGTGGAGTCGGCTGCTGCGGACACGAGTATGTCGCAGTTCAAGTCAAGCAAGCCAACCAACGATGTGTGCCCCTCCAGGCTATATTTGAGGGAGCCGGTGTTGAGATCCCAAATTCGCACCATGTTGTCCATCGAGCCACTTACACAGCGGTTCCGTTTATGGTCGAGGACAACGCTGTAGACCTTCTGTGTGTGGCCCTGCAGACGATAGATAGTCTCGCCTGTGGATATCCTCCAGACACGAACGGTGCAATCATAGCTTCCGCTTACCAAGGTGTCAGCGTAAGCAGCAATTGCACGTACGGAATGCTGATGACCGGACAAGGTCCGTACAAAGTAAGGACAATCATCTGCATCAACTTCGTTTTCAGCTTGGATGAATACTGGATCTTCCGGCCGAGGAAGCTTCCACACTCGCAACGTGGAGTCGCGAGACCCCGTGATGATCAGTGGCTGTTTGGGCATCATGACGGGCTTCCCTTCTGCATTTTCTCCGACTCGGACGGGGGACACGATTTGCAGGCATCGTACCGTTGAGGTGTGCCCACGGAAGACTTGAGTCTCACGTGCTTCTTCAATATTCCAGACGCGTACTGACCTATCAGTCGACCCTGAAACAAGAGTGTTTCCCTCGTATTGCAAAGCCCAAACCCCACCTTCGTGTCCCGTCAGAGTCGCCCTTAAGATGCCGGTCTTGGTCTCGTAGACGTTGATGTTGTTATCATCACTCCCTGTCACGATCTTGTCAGGATCAAATTGGAGACAAGTAACCACGTGGCTATCATGCGCGCGAAACGCAATATGTCGAGGTCGCGCATCTTCGAACATCCAATTTCTTCGAATAAGAAAGTGTCTCCGATAAAGGGATTTGTAGAGATGTAGACCCGTTAGACTCGGCAAACCGATGTCCGGTTGGGGAACCGCCATCATTGCCGAGTGTGCCGCATTATACGGCCCGTCTGCTGCGGAGATGTCATTGCACGAGGCAAAAGAAGTGACGTCAACCGAGGTTTCCCGTGACTCGGACTTCACACGTTTGGCCTGTTTGTTATTCGATAGCATCGCGGAGGCTTTTCGTTTCGACGGAAGGATTGCACTATGCCTATTGTGGGCCTCTGCCGCGAGCGAATAGGCGTTGGGGTTTGTTTCGTATTTGACGGAGTGGGCATCGGCAACGTTCTCTTCGTATTCACCCGGACCAGAGGGATCTTGCCAACCCCAGCCTTCGGCAATAGCTTGCTGCAATTCTCCTTCCGGTAGCGTAAAGCCGTCTGCATCAAATAATTCTTTCCAGGCTCTTTCATCACTGTTGACAATCTGCCGCCATTTTCTTGACACCTGTGCTGCCCTGCACAGACTCTTAACATCAAGATATTTGAGGATGTTGAGAGCCAGTTCGGGTGGAAGAAGGGAAAGAAAATCGCACTTCAGGGCAGGGTTGACGGTGTCTGCAACGACTTGAAGTGTAGGCTTGGGACACCGGCGCAGTAACTGGTGCATAACGTAGCCCTTAAGTTCATCCGGGATGGCTTCAAAATAGTCGAGCATTGCTGGAATTTCTGCGACTGAGCGGCTGACAAATCGAGAGGGCTTGCGAGAACCATGACGAGAGCGCGTATCGGTGATTTGAGAGGAGCCCAAAGGATTGGGTGACGGTCGTTCTAGTCCAAGAGCTCTGTATATCCCGTCATGCTGCGAGGCAATCTCCGAGTTTGAGTCGATATCGGCAAAGTATCCAGCATTCTGCAAAGTTGCGGCAGCTGTGACAGGAGAGAGACTCGGACTAGGAAGACTACCGTCCTGTGCTGATGGACTTTCCGCGACATGCAACCGAGCTGGTACCGACGATAATGCACGCCTACTTAAAGGCCTTGCTGAAGACGATTCAGTATCCTCAATTATAGGTGGCGTGGGCACTGCTGTATCCTGTGAGATGTCTCGGTGACTCGTCCGCCCGAGATGGGAGTAATCAACGGAAGAGGCCGTTGCCTTCTCCAGTTCCGAGGGATGAAAATGCCTGGGCTTTGGCGATGATGGTTGGGCGTCTGGAAAAGCCGGTTGCTGACCCATGTTTGGCGAGGGTAGAAGCGTATTCCTGCTTCTTGCTGAACGGGCACGCTTTCGCGGCTCTCGCACATTGACTGCACGGGATGCGTTGCAAGATTTCGGCATGCTGTTTGGAGTGATTGGGTTGACGGATTGGTAGAAGGAGTTTGATATGACTGATTCGGGACGATATCTCATTGACGATCCAGCACGACTTGACGTAAATGAAGGTTCCTGCGATTGCGCGAGGTCTTCGCTGTCAGTAATAGATTCTGGAGAAGCCGGTCTTTTCTGCGCTCTCCGTCGGGCGGAAGTAAATTTTGAGCCTGCCGAGGGGACGTCGATGAAGGGTGGAAAGGTCTCCACGGTTTCGAGCACCCCATTGGCATTTCGAAGAGTTCGTTGCTGCCCTTGTGACTGATTTCGGCGTTAGCGAATCTTCGCAGTTAATGTTGGACGCTTCCCTACCTCCTCTAATGCAAGCGTCGTGTCTTCGGCTTCGCGAAATATCGTGTGCTTCCCATCTATTTCGAAATGTATCTTCTTCAAGCTGGCCGGTGTGGGGCTAGCTGCCAAAGGATATTGCTTGAGGTCCAAGTCTTTCATCTGGCGCGGCGGACGCATAAGGAAAGGGGGGAATTTGGTGGTAGTAGTCGTGGTTGTAGTGACAACAGTGGTTTGTGTGGCCGGAGCAAAAGAGAATTGACCAAGCAAGCTGTCTGCGTCCACGATTGTCTCATGGCCTCGGGTGTCTTTACTTCGTCGATACTGTCCTAGCTCAACTCCCCGATGCACAGACCGGTGGCGGTCTCGAAGACCGATGTCGATCGGATCCTCATCCATTGTGTTTTTATTTGTCACCGTTCGGATCCCTCAAGTCTGCGCACAAAGAGCATCTGCCAGAGGGAACCAGATAAGGGTCGCGTCGTGGCTGTCGTGCGAGAGTCTCGAGAACAACATGCAATCAGTACGTGAATGCCCCTTCCATTCGATCAAATGGCCGACCGGAGAGTTTGGGAAAGCGACAGAGGTGACGGTAGAAAGAGAGGTTCAGGTTCGGAATATAGGAGCCGGTTCGGTCTGGTGTGAAGGTCGAGTTGGGCCTGAAACAAAGCGATGGTTGGATGAAGGCCTGTTAATGGACGAAGATGCATAAAAAGAACGGTGCCCTGGTGTTTCGTGAGTCATGCACTCTTGTAACGGCCCAATTCAGGTGAACAGGATAGACTCACAGAATAACGAGACTGTTCAAGGAACGAGGTGTTTGGGTTTGGTATGTGTCGGGAGAGTGGGAGGTATCGAGAGCGGGCGGGCCCCAGCAGATAGACGCTTCGACGGCCCCGGAGCGTGCGAGAATAGTGAGGAGAGTGAGGGCGAAGGGCACCAAGGGCACCAAGACTGTGGCTTTACCGACAGGATTGGCCCGCGGCGTGACCGTTCGAGCCTGAGCGCGCTTGCCGCCGCGTACAGGCGAGCAGGGTCAGCCAAATCGAAGAACTGAAGAGCCGTCTGACACGTTGAAACTGTCAACACTGGGCAGCACTGGGCGACGCCGAGTGGGGGAGCTACCTTGTCAGACTGTCCCTTTTTCCCTTGGGCGGGAGCTCACCACGCTGGCGAATTGACTGGGTGGACAATTTTAGCTGCGATGGCCGCGCCACTGCCATCACCACAATAGCAAAAAGAGTTTTCCCGTCACCTTTTGCCACCAGCTTCTGATGCCATTTGAAATCGAGAATAGCGTCAGCTCCCTGCCTAACCTGGCGAGTAGTTCAATGCCTAAATGGCGAGAGGGCTCGGTATGCTCTCAGCTAGACACACTGTTGTCAGGGAGTGCTCCGCGAGAGATGCTGTTGCCGGTTTCTCTTGGGATCAGGCCGCGACCAAGATGCCCTTGCTCCTATTGCCACGAAGACACTTGAAGTGAAGCAAGGCGGGTCTTGGATGGATACAACAGCATGCCTGGTCATCTGGACCTCTGCGGCATTGATGAAGAATGTTATACTGACTGCGAGGAGGCCAGCCAACCCACGACGCTGATTGAAACAGGAGCTTGTAGATTGAGATTCTAATGAGGCTGAAAGGCCAGCACTTGTGCCTTCAGAGTTGACGGACTTGGCCACGAATGTGACAGCTTTCTTCGTACAAATCATCGACTATGTGACTTCCAAGAAGTCAGGATCTCAACCCCCCCAGCTGCTCCCCTTTTCACCTTCACTTGTCAAAATTACTTTGCCTTCATCGTCAGAATTCTCCCGTGCTGGGATCTTGCAATAATGGCACAGCAGATCCTCCTTGTTCCGCCTTCTGAGCGGACTCTTTCACAAGCAGAAAGCCTTGCGGTGGTTCAGATCTTCCTCAACGCATCGTTGGCCTGTATTGCCCACACAAGGGAGCTGATCCCATGGACGTCGCCCTGCTTCCGCACGCGCCATGTCGATCAGCTCGCCCTTGAAGATCACCCGCGTACTGGAGGGAGTTTGTATTCTGCTTTTCAGGCTCTCGCTTCGCAAACAGCCGCTGAAGGTCAAGAGATCAAAATCCTCGTCCGCGGAGGGCACCGACACGCTGATCAAATGCTTGATATGCTTGTAAGACCCCGGATATCCATGCAATGTTTCGGGAAGCTAGCTAATCGCCATATAGGAGCAAGGAGTATTTGAGGCCTTGGATCGAGGTTTTCTGGACAGCCTTCGAGTGTTTGTGACTCAGACCACAGAAAAGCAACCAGTCGTCGTCGAGACCTACCATTTCGTCTTTGCGTATGACTTTGGCCGGGTTACCAGTGTCCGATTGAGTCCAACGGATCAGGGGTTCGTCTTGGAGAATGTACACAAAAGTTTCAAGGCTGCGATACGGGCGTTGCTTCGCTCACTGAGGGCCTTGCCCCGTCTCCTAGGTGTGATTGTCTCGTCTTGCCCCTAGGCGAGAAACTGACTGCTACCATAGCCCACCGTAAGTTAGGAATGAGTCTGACGTACAACGAGACATGTCCTATGGTATATCAGCCACCAGGCTTCGTGGACAAAGATAACTGCCAAGAGGCGGAAGGCTCGGCAATGTGTGACGCGCTTCTGAAAGGAGATGAAGATGTCGTCGGTGTGCTGGAATGTGGGCACCACCAAGTGCGTGTTGCAGTCCGCCTTCAAGGTGCGAAAGGAGAAGAATCCTCAATTGATGTGCAAGACACGGAAATGAGCAGACGACTGCAGGCAATGCAGAAGACTTCCTCCAGCCACAGCAACAATCTAGTCTCTACGTTGAGAGATTCATTTCCTAGATCAAAACGCCCTAGGGAAGGCCCAATACCTAGTGCGAAGCGTGTGAGGGCCGCTGGTCCTGGGAACCCATCGAGCAATGACACCGCGCCACAGATTACCAAGGCATATCTGCTGATAGGGCCGGAAAGCCTTGAGAAGTCGAGTTTCGCAGAGCCGGAGTCGCCTCAATTGGGAGACACGTCCAGAGATTTCGCTGCTCTTGCGAAAAGTTCGCCGAAGGGACATGGTCTCTGTCTCCGTATCACCAAGCTTACGGAGCTTCTCATACACTGCTTTGCCATTCAGAGCGGAAAGACAGATGAAAATGGGAATGTGTTTGATCAAGACCTGCTGGCCGAAGGAAAGATCAAGCGGCTCAGTCGATGTAGTCGCGTCAACTGTGAATGTGGAAGTCGGCATAGATCAGGTCCGATGGTAAGCAGATCGTGGATGGCGCAGGGCAACTGCTAACCAGACTATGTAGCTCTACTGCGAAGTATGCGACGGTTGGCAACATAGCAAATGCTACGGCTGCGACGAAAGCTTCGCATCTGGTACTACAACTATGCCCATGGAGCACTTCTGCTATACATGCCTGCTGTTTTCTGAAGGACTAGACGCACCGAATTCTCCCTTACTCATTATTATCTTGCGCATGGCTGTGGGTTATCTCACAACTAAGCCTGGTCTGGGATTGCACCTCGATGAAAACTTCCTGGAGACGCAACTGAAACCTCCCCGCTGGACGAAAAAGGTGCTTGGCCAGGCAATGGAGCGACTTGTAGAAGAACGTCTCCTCGTGCCGCGGGATGGTCGGCTCTTCGAAGCCAGATCGCTCAGCGACTCGGAGATATCGCAGATCAAGGAGCAATATATGAGCGCATTAGCATCAATAGGGGATCTCTATGAGCCATTTGCAAACCACGAAAATACGCAAAGGGGCAAGGACACCGTCAACTTGCTCAAAGCGTATGCTCGTGGAAATGATCATACGACAGCAGAAGGGTGCGAAAAGCTGATAGCGTACGACGAGTTTGGCGATCCGGTGTTCCGTTGGGGATATCGTTTCAATTCAACGATCCCCTTTTCAGAGGGCTCCGTTGTCGACGATGGAACAGCGACGCCAGTACGTCGACGAAAGATCAGTATCTCGCGCATGTTGATCAAGATTGACGGTTCTCCCTCTGCTACAAGTATGAGCCTCGGAGAATCAACAAGTCGATTCCACGACAGGGGGGACAACACTGATTTCAGCACTGCCGTCTCGATCGCGACCGCCGTCTGATTGTGCTCCAGGAGGGCTTCTGCCACAAAACAAGCGGATGAGCTACAAGGGATCCTGAAGAGGTGGCTGGCCAATGTGGTGTGACAAGCAGTGGGCTGCCACGAGGAAAAACACGTGGCAATGGTCATGGTGGCTGAGTGGGCGGTCCTATCTCGACAAGGGGTTCGAAATGATGTTTTTGATTCTCCGGTCTGGACCTCAAGAACATCCAGGGGAGGAAATGTCCAGAGAGACAGGTTTTGCTTGGCCACGACCCGGCGCAGAAGCTATTTGTTGTTGCGAGGTTCAGCAATCTGGGGTTCACCTAGCATGCCTGCTCGACGTGGTCGTGTAGTACAAGGTGGCTTTGTGCTCAGACCCCAGTACGAGGTAGTGTCTTTCCTTAGGTAAGTAGGCGCTGAGAAAATGCTTAACTCAGGAAAGAGAGCCTAAGTACTTCAGCAGCTGCTGTTTTCGCCAGTTCAGCCGGACGGGGCTATTATCTTTCATTTCAAGTGCTCTGAGCCGGGACAAGGTGAGTGTTGTTACTCGGTAGTTTGTTCCGAGTCCCGTAAGCGAGCAGCTTCGAGAAGAAAAGGCCAAAGTCAGGGCTCTGAGCAACAACAGACGTCGAATGCAAACATCTCGAGGTCGGTTGATTCGGATCTCAGGAAAAGCACCCCTGACATGGCTGGAAGCAACATCGCCCAAAGCGACTGGAAGCCGTTGGCGTTGCTTTATCCTTTTGGCGATGGCCTGCCGACCGGGTCATGACGCTACCGAGCTGGCACCCCTTGGAAAGATGGCGCCAAAGGGGCCTCATGACCACCATGGCTAAAATCAGCAAAGATGCGCTCGATGGGGTGCGAGTGCAGGTGGACAAGGTGGAGTGTCCGGAAGTGCCTGGGGTGCCTCGCTAGCTTCCAGGGCCTACCTGCTAGTACCTAAGTATGGGACCCAGGGCCCAAGGGACTGAGTCGGGCAGGTGAGCATACTCGTGCTGCCCGTGCAAGGTCCCCAAGAATTCCTCAATGCTCAGACTCTTGACTCTTGGGGGCATCTCCGTCACACTGTGACACTATCCAGTAGGTAACAAGTAGAACTCTTCTGTCTCCATCCTCTTGCTGCTCCTTCCCGGAAAAGGATCTGATTTACCCAGTTCCCCTGGCCTTCCATGACCGTGCCGGCTAGCCTGTTGGCGGATGGGTCGACCCCCCATGTCTCCTCATCTCTTTCCTCTGACCATTCAGGACCACCCACGCAGGGAGCGGCTACCGAGTCTGAATCCCTTTCGTTTGGGAGTAGTTAGCATCCGCCACACGGAGCTGGAGTGGGCTACAAAGGCTCTTCAAGAACACCAAAAAGAAAGGCCAGAAGGCCCAGAAGAGTACTGGGGATGGCAGTACGGCTCGAACCCTAGCTTCTCGAACAAATCAAGCCGCTGGCAACTTCCACCAGCGTTCAAGCGTTTTCCACCTCGGGCATGGCATCTGATTCAAGGCCATCCGGTGCCATCTGACCGTCGACCGATCCTTGTCCGTGGCTAGCCTGGTGCCCACGAGCAACTTTAGCCTCGAAACTTGGGAACGTTGGGGCTGTGGCCGTTATCCATAGTCTTTTGCTGGTGTCTACCCTCCATTCGTCATCCCGCCTGAAAGAGACCCGGTGGTCCACCAGAGGTTGACGGCTCGATGGGCAGCTCGCTGCAGCGCGATTCCGGTCCTGGCAATTTGGACTGCTCATCATACCCGGTACACTGCTACTCTGTCGCTGCGATCTCCTCAGCTGCCTCAGTTCAACTGTCAAAGTTTTTATTTCTGAAGCCCCTCAAAGCCTGTTCCGACCCATTGTTCAGAATCGCCGTCATGATATTTCAGTAACGCCTCGAGAACAACTCCCTTGCAATCCTAATTAACGCCATTGTTCGAATATCATATCTTCCGCCTCCACCGCCCGTCCTTCTCCTTGTACCTGTTGCAAGAGCGAGTGCGAGACCCAGGGGAATCAACTTGGACAGGAACACTGTTGACGAAGAAACGGCCTTGGAGAGGAGTACTTGCTGACGCTTGTACTATATGCTATACATCTCGGCATGCAAAAGACATCAGATGTCAACGCACGTGGCATGATAAGGGAAAACTGATATGGGTGGCGGTCAAAGATTCCATCTGCCGTCTCTAAAACGAACAAAATCCAATGCTCCCCAGCAAGGCTGGCAGCCAGAAGGAAATGAACATAAAGTACAGCATCTACTTGGGATCACTGAGACTGATTTGAACACGGCGCGGAACCAGAGCATAAGCTCTTCGGCTACTGCGAAGTTGCCAGCGTTGTCTTTTTCCGATGCCACCACCGAGCTGGGCTCTTCTCATCATCCGACAGAGCAGCTGGATGCAGGTGCAGACCTTCATTTGAAGGCGTCTTCTGTATTGCTGCACGAAGAGTTCCTGCTCAAGGCCGACGTTGCCGGCTCAACCGATTCCAAGCGGCTCAAGACATACGGCTCGTCCTCTACGATTAACTCGTACTATAATGCTTACCAGGCGCCGTTAGCCGTCTCGCAGCAGACTTCAGAATCCTCCAGGCGGGACTTCGCTTTGCGAAAAGGTGCCCCGGTTGTTGTCAAGTCCACGACCCCTGACAAGGACTCCCTGCGTCAACTGAAACTTTTTCGTCTCACCAAAAGTGAGGATAAGCCAGGAACAACGAAGAAGCTCACGAAACAGAGTCTTCAGTCTGGAGACCCTGCCGTTACGATGTTATTCGGCAGCCAGCGTCCTGCGAGGCCCTCCGACCAGGCTGGGACGACAAGGCTCTTACACCCCAATCATCATTCCATAACGCAAAAGGGGGTCCGCTTCCAATCTCTCAATGCAGAGAGATCGAAATCGTCTGGTATTTCCTCCTCTCGACAAGAAACTCCATACGTCAAGGTGAATATCAGACGGCCAAAAGCGGGAGCGAAGCATTGGTTCGATGGACTGGAAGGCGACAGCAGCGATGATGAAAGTGTCCATGAACCTGAGTTGCAGCCAAGCTTCGTTGCAGGAATGGAAATGGCTTTCGAAGGTGGCAGGATCGGTCTGATTCCAAAGGAGGGAACTCGCATCACGACCCATACATCTGAGACATCTAGCCGAGGCACGAGCTCAAGAGCAGCATCCAGCCATTTGCTCCCTTCTTCAGCGATACCGGCTCGCGTGTCAACCCTCAACGCCAAATCATCAAGGTCCACCCTTTCTCGAAATGAATCACAGCAAACTTCGTCAAAGCCGAAAGCCTCCTCTCTCGCCTCGACTGATCTGCATAAAACCAGCATTCTCGACTTGTCCTCGTCAGATGATGAGCAGCCACGGCTACCGGCACAAAGTAGAGAACCTGTAAAGGCTCCCTTGCCCCTGCTGCGCGACAGCATAGCTGTTGAATCTTTGGCTGAGTCAGAAATCGAGATTGGGACTGCCAAAGCAGTGAGTACGAAACACAATGCATCGGTGAAGGCAACACCCAGTTTGCGGCGTGTTCATGGCACTCATCCTCGGCGTCCGGCATCTTCAATGTCGAAACCATCCCACACGCGGCGGAAGCATCGGTCTACGTATCTCAGCGATCTATCCTCAAATCCTCCTCCTGAGGATGATGACCTGCTCACTTCATTTCCCGCCACCCCATCTGACCAAGCATCCTCGCACCGGCCATCTTTCCACGAATCTTGTTTGTCCGACACTGCCAGCATAGAGAGCAGGAGACTCATGAGCGTCACCCGACAGGAAGAATCTCTCTTGGCTGCAATCCGCTCAAGAAAAGCAGCACTTGGTCAGTCATCAGGCGGCGCAACGGACCGTCGGGTACAGCTTTTGAGAGACGTGGAGAAAAGGTCCACCACGCAACAACGCCCGCCGCGGACCTCCGCGGCATTGGAGGTCCAGTTGGCCTTTCAGGGGCGGACGCAAGAACAGGCACAATCTTTATGTTCCGATGCAAACTTCGATCAGGCTTCTTGCACGACTTTCCAGACAGGATTATCCACCGAGCCCAGTGGACGATATTCACTCGCCAGCTTTCGCACTGGCACTTCTATGGAGCCGGAGACAGAAATATCGTCTTCTCTAGCTACGTTTTCTCCTGGGCTACTTGCGCCGTCGAATAGCGGTGTCAATAGAATGAGCCGTTCGACTTTCTTTTCGACGTCAACCAACAGCTCGAGGGACAACTCGCGCAACCGACGGGAGAGCCACTACCTAGCCACATTGGAGAAGCTGCAGGCGGCGCCAAAAAGAGAAGAGGTTTCTTCTCAGGACTTCATTGATTTTCCTTATAACGGATGGATGAAACTTGCGGCAACGGCGCATTGACGCTGGATCACGACGTTCAAAAGTTCAGTTGCATCTCGTTTGTCGTTTCCTTTGTGGACTTCTAGGTAGGGAAATTTGTGACGACTGTAAAGAGAGTGGTGGATCACTTGTACAATAGGCATGATTCTGGCTTCTAGGCCACCTTGGTTTGATGATGACGAAGGAGGATATTCACATAGTGGATCAATGTACAGTAGGAAACCGGCGGTCTATAGAGCCGGAAATATGGAGGGAATAGCTAATAATGAATGGGCATTGTTCTTCGCATGCCGCCTCGCCGCGCAGTATCTTTGTGAGCCTTTAGGATTTGATCCTTGAATATCTCCCCCCTTGACGATTAATCCATACTGTAAGGCCAGGTGACACCATACAAAGCAACAGGTAGAGCGGGCAAAACGGGGTCTGAGTCCTGGTGGGCTCTTTCACCGCCAAACCAAGAACTTGGCAGGCATGACGCAGTGCCACTGAGTTGCAGCAGTTCCGCGAGCTGCGAAAACACCAGAAATCGCCAATCGACGCGCCGAAGAGAATCCCACCACCAGCCACCCGTCGCCAAAGGTTTCCTTTGCCTTGGTTTTGGGCTGCTGCCGCCAAAAGTCTTCCTTCACTTATTTTGTGTTGCTCGCGTGTCGGATGACCCTTGGGTCATCTTCACCTCATTGCTTAATCTCCACCCCTTGGTTCAACGTGTCAGAAACATATTACCATCTCTCACACAGAGAACCTGTCCACTCCTTCAACCCTCCGTTCCTTCTTACCGAATGACCGGCTGCTCTGCCTGGCGCAGAGCCTTTCAGCCGGAGACAACGGCATTGCATCGTCGAAGTATTGCTACTACTGGGGGTTCTGTCGCAGCGGTCTCAAGCGATGGGTGTGGAAAGGCGCGGCAACGCGCCCAAGTTCATGGGGGTGTCACTCCGGAGTCTGTCATTGAGCACTGTAAGAAGGGCCTCACGACATCGTCTACTCAGCTTCAGGCTGACTGATTTGTGGTATAGCTGACAGTACAATTCTCCACCTTCATTTTGGTAAGCCAGACCGAATACTCTGAAGATAGCCCTTGCTTGACTGACTGACCTGGTGCCTGTTAAAGCTCCTGCATTATTCGCGGGTTATGCCCACCGCTGACGGACACCGATATCTTCCTTCAACGGCCGTCTTTCTAGTCGAAGCCCTCAAATTGGCAGTATGCCTGACAATATCGCTCTACGAAATCTCCCTCTCAGTTCCCAGATCCATGCCCGCGACTTCCCTCCTCGAGACATTGGGTAGTGCCATTTTCGCCGGCGACAGCTGGAAAATGGCTTTCCCGGCTGGACTTTACACACTGGCGAACAGTCTGCAGTACATTGCAATATCTAATCTGGACGCCGCGACCTTCCACGTCACATACCAGTTCAAGATCTTTGTCACGGCAGTTTTGAGCGTCTTGCTTCTGCGGAGAACCATTTCGGGACGACAGTGGCTGTCTCTGATCCTGCTTATGCTGGGAGTTGCAATCGTCTCGCTCCCTCACGGTTCGTCAGGATCCCTAGCTGCAAGCCACCATACGAGAATCTACCTTCCACGGTCATCGAACCCTCTTCGAGAGCATTTCCGGATGGCGGAGCCCGGTTCCCATCTCAAAAAGAGATCGGCAACGTATGAAGGTATCGAAGAAGACGAGCTCGCTTTGAACACGCCCGGCATGGACGCATCTGTTGGACTGTTTGCAGTTCTGGGTGTTTGCATGTGTTCGGGGCTAGCCGGCGTGTATTTTGAAAAGGTTATCAAAGAGTCGCCAAAGAATACGTCCCTCTGGATCAGAAATGTGCAACTGTCGATATATTCTCTCTTTCCGGCATTCTTTATTGGAATCGTCTTTCTTGACGGCGAAACAGTTGCAAAGTATGGTTTTTTCGCGGGTTATAACTGGGTGGTGGTGGCGTCAATTGTCATCCAGTCCTTTGGTGGCATCGTCGCGGCGTTCTGCATTTTTTATGCCGATAACATTTCGAAGAACTTCGCTGTTAGCATCAGTATGGTCCTCAGCAGTCTGGCCAGTTTCATGTTCTTTGACTTTGCCATGACCGGACATGTAAGCGATCATGATTTATTCGTATCTGCAGGACCGCTAACAGCTTCTAGTTTTTGATTGGAGCCTCGATAGTCCTCGTCGCCACTTGGGTCTATAATTCCGAAGAAGCTCGGCTCCTACAAACTCTAGCAGTCGGGGTCAACGAGAAGGAGAAATTATCACTTAATGGTACAGCGACGTGGAACGATATGTCTATCCAGATCCCCAAAACTCCTCTCATTCAAGAAGAGACAGCCCTGGCGACGTCGAGACCAGGTTCACCAAGCCACAAAAAGAGGAATAAAGAGCCTCTCGGCTATTTTCCGAAGCATCATGATTGAATCACGACCGTTGCGGGACAGATGCTTACGATTGGACATGAAAGGATAGACTTTGGGTATACCACTTGGGAAAAGGATGAATGCTTGCAACACGATCACCAGCCAGGTAGTGGCAAGAAAACCGGGGTTCACGAGCAGCCGGAGGACGTGCAGCGCCTTCTCTGGCTGCAGAAAAGTGATCTATCAGTACCTATTCAACGAGGGAGGTTGCTTCTCAGAGAAATCGAAGAACGGGGGCACGGTCACGTGCTCCTATTTGGCTGTCCATCGCACCTGCCCATTGAAACTCTGACCTGCACCTTGCCCGCCTGCATCGTCCCTTTCAGTTTGCTTGAGAATAACTTCACTTCGACGCCTCTGTCATACAGTCACTCACCTCTTCCTTTTCCTCATTACATGCTCTTTACATGGGAACCCGCTTCGATCTGTGCCATGGATGGTGTCAGGCGGCTTCCTGCTGATTATCGACGAGATTCCTCCTACCTTTCTACCCGTTATTCACGCACGCCACGGCTGCTTGAAATCGGATCCAATTCAAATGCCTCTCACAATGTCACCCGGCGACAATCGCCTTACTTTGCTCCGCCGAGACCGGTTGGGGCTGGCCTGTTTGACCCTCACTCCCCTCCCAAGGAAGTTGAGAGAGCACTCGACGACTTCGACGACTTTGGTAAGCCACATACTCCTTAGCGTGTCATTCAAGGTGCTAAGGTCCCAATTAGACAGAGCTCTGCTTGAAAAGAGCTCAAGAGGGCAGGACATTGCGGAACGATTAGGCCTGACTCGGATCTCGCCTCCCCCCAAGCCTCTCGCACCGTTCATGACCGGTAGCACGAGGAGGTTTTTACAAGGTGAGCCACACTCCTCGTTAAGAAGCTACGCTCTCATCATGAATGTAGATGACTTGCACGACAACCCAATCATCCAGACATCCAGCTCCTCGCCCTCTGCCCCTGCTACGAGTCCAACAGTCTCTTTCCTCCAGAACCGTCAACGTGACAAGGGTAATCCATCTTTTCAAAGTAAGGCCTCTATCTCAAGACCAAATGAGCTTCCAAGTGAGGAAGTCAGATCCGCCACGAACATGAGCACTGCAAGTAAGAGAGCAAGCCAAAGATTATCGCTAAGCAGTCAGCCTGTCCGGGCTCCACCAGTCGTCCAAGGAATTCAGCTAGTCCCAACTACTGCATTGCCAGACCAAATTCGTTCAGTGTTCAAGTTTGAGATCTTCAATGCTGTCCAGTCAAAATGTTTTGAAAGCGCCTTCCGATCTGACGACAATGTCGTCGTCTCCGCCCCAACCGGCAGCGGAAAGACTGTTGTCATGGAGCTAGCTATCTGCAGGCTAGTGGCACAATCCAAAGGTCAAGACTTCAAAGTTGTATACCAGGGCCCTACCAAATCGCTATGCTCAGAAAGATATCGTGATTGGGAAACGAAGTTCGGTGCGCTCGATTTGCGTTGTGCCGAACTTACAGGTGACAGTAATTACAGCGACATTGTTAACGTGCAAAAGGCAAGCATTATCATCACAACTCCAGAGAAATGGGACAGCGTGACTCGGAAATGGAAAGACCATGCTAAACTCATGCAGCTTGTTAAGCTGTTTCTTGTCGACGAAGTGCACATCCTCAAGGATGACCGTGGCGCTACGCTTGAGGCAGTCGTGTCAAGGATGAAGTCCGTGAATTCGGACATCAGATTTGTTGCATTGTCGGCCACTGTGCCGAACTCAGAGGATATTGCAGTCTGGCTGGGGAAAGATCCTACGTCCCAACACTTACCCGCGCACAGAGAGGTCTTTGGGGAGAGTTTCCGGCCTGTCCAGCTCAAAAAGCATGTTTATGGATTTGACGTGAAAAGCAATGATTTTGCTTTTGACTCGATGTTGACGCACCAGTAAGAGAACCCTCCGAACTCGATTCGCATACTCATATTAAACTAGGATACCTGAAATCATTGCAAAGCATGGACGTGGGAAGCCCGTTATGGTCTTTTGCCCTACGCGGCGGGCTTCGGTTACAACTGCTAAGGTGATGGCGGACACATGGTCAAGCTCTAATCCATCACAGCGGCCGTGGAGTGCACCGGGAAGGCAGCTCACCTTAGCGAGCCCTGATCTCAAAAGTATCTCATCACATCCCCCCTCACAACTCATCACATACTGACTGTATCTCCACAGCCACGTCTGTCGCAGGAGTAGCTTTCCATCATGGAGGATTGAGCGCATCAGATCGCCACACAATCGAAAATGCTTTTTTAAACGGACAGATCAATATCATCTGCAGTACTTCGACGTTAGCCGTTGGCGTCAATCTGCCCTGCTATCTGGTGATTCTGAAAGGGACAAAAGCCTGGACCGACAATGGCTTCAAAGAGTATGCAGACCTAGAAGTCATGCAAATGCTGGGTAGGGCAGGCAGGCCGCAGTTCGAAACTTCAGCATGTGCAGTTATTCTCACTCGAAAGGAGAAAGTCGCCCGCTACGAAAAGATGGTGTCAGGTGAAGAATTGTTGGAGAGTTGTCTTCATCAGAATCTTATCGAGCACCTCAACGCAGAGGTTGTCCTCGGAACTGTACATGACCTAGCAACAGCAAAGCAATGGCTAGCGAGTACATTTTTCTACGTCCGCCTGAAGAGGAATCCTTCCCACTACCAACTTCAGGAGGGAATCAAGGAAAACACCGAGGACGAATTGCTCGAACAACTGTGCGAGAAAGATCTCGCGTTGCTTCTGGACGCTGGACTCATCGAACAAAACGCTCGACTGACCTCAAAATCGTTTGGAGAAGCAATGGCAAGATACTACGTCTCTTTCGACACGATGAAGTCTTTCATGCGACTACCCCCCAAGGCGAAGATGTCGGAAATCGTACGTGAAATCCGTTATGATGAGATTTTGACTGACCAGTGAGTACAGCTGTCGGTTTTGGCTCAAGCAAGAGAATTCCGCGAAGTGCGAATGTTGGCTGGGGAGAAGTCATTTTACAAGGAAATCAACAAAGCCCCGGAGATCAAGTTCCCGATTAAGGTCGATGTCGCCCTTCCGGCCCACAAGATCTCTCTACTGATCCAGGCTGAACTGGGAAATGTCGCATTACCTGACGGCGAACACCACAAAAAGCACCACCAACAGAGCCGAATTGACAAGATTCCGGTATTTGCTCATGCGAATCGGCTAATTCGGTGTATCATCGACTGTCAAATTCATCTCGAAGACGCCATCTCAACTCGACATGCGCTTGAATTAGGCCGCAGCCTTGCATCACGCGTCTGGGACAATACTGCTAGCCAGCTAAGGCAGGTTGAAGGTCTGGGCGAAGTTGCTGTTCGAAAATTGGCGTCTGCGTCAATCAACAGCATCGACACACTTCTCAATACAGAACCCTCTCGCATTGAATTGGTCCTCGGAAAGAACCCTCCCTTTGGCCACCAACTATTGCAAAAGCTGGAGTCATTCCCCAACCTGAGGGTGTCGGTCAAACAGACTGCTCGGAAACTTCGAGTCGGTGACGGTGCCAGGATCAAAATAATTGCAGAAATTGGATTCTTGAACAACGTGTTGCCTCGATCCTTCAACAAAAAGAATTTCTCTGTCTGCTTCCTGGCTGAGACATCTCAAGGAGCTCTCATGGACTTCAGGAGATTCAACCCGAAGAAGTTGCAAAATTATGAGCAAGTATGTCTGACTTTGCACCTTACGAGGCCAACGAGTCACGTCAACTGCTATGTGATGTGTGACGATATTGCTGGCACCAGCAAGTATGCCCAGCTGAACCTGTCCGACATCCCGAATTCAGTGTATCGTAATCTGCGAGCGCGGGAAAGCATGCAAGACGAGCCAGAAAACTATAAGCGCAATGCTGGAGCATCGGAGTTCTGGGATGAGGACTTCGGCGACGGTGGCGTCAACGATCAGGATCTGCTTGCTGTCGAAGCCGATGGAACCACAATTGAAGAGATCGAAGACATCGATGACATTCTCGACAAAGAAGACAAGAAGTGGACTAAGCCATCAAAGCAGGTTCTACACCAACACGGAAGCGAGAATCATGAACGCACAGAAGACTCTGATGTTCCTATTTATCGAAAGTCTATACAGCTACCCAGCGGGCGCTGGACTTGTCAACATGACTGTAGTGAGCGCGGCAGGAAATGCAAACACAGATGTTGCAAAGAAGGCGTGGCGAAGCCTAGGCGCAGACCAAAGACGGAGCCCAAGATCAAAGAAGAAGAGAAAGGCCAAAAAAAGATAACCGCAGTAATGCAGCCTCCTGGTGGACCTAAAGCGAAGCCGGAAAGCAAACATCATATGGGGTCAGCAGATGTGGCCAAACCAGCACAGGAAAACAAGCTAGATCAGAATAGGGCAAGTGTATTCAACATTCCAAGAAGCCGAAGCCACGGGGATATGATGCCATATAGTCTCACAAAGCACATCGACGAACCTGGGGCAAAAAGACTGAAGCTGTCAAAGGATCGGGAAACAGACAACTTCGAACATCCTTACGCGGATACAGATTTCAAGTCTGAGCATTCACAGGAACCTGACAACAATGGCGCAACAGAGACGGAAAAGGAACACAATTCCCGGCTGGAAATTGCCAATGATGGCTTCTTTGCTCTCCTTTCCGATGAGGACGATGACGGCGATATCAAGCTCCCCCACGAGGGGTTTGGACCACTTAATAAACATGGCCCCGGCACTGGAATTAGCGCTGAAGTTGTTGACAAAGCAAACGGCTTCAGCACAGACACTCCCGGCGAGGACTGGCCTGCTGGATATGAGGAAAAAATGGATTTCTTGACCTCGGATGTTGACCTCGGATGTTTTGATGCACCACTCGAGCACGTTACCATGTCTGACGTCCTCAAGAAAGGTAAAAGTCCTGCAACACGTCATGACAGCTTTGCGATGCCAGAACTACCTAATCTTGCGAATGGAACGGACTTCAACGGTGATTTCTTCCTCGCTCCTATCGACTTCGGTGGACTTCCAGTGGATCACGCTGGGCAAGTTGATGACTCTGTGGGTATTGGGTGCGAGGATATCACATCATTTACAGATACACCGGTCGATTCCTTGGTGAAGACCCCAGAAGACCCAGGGACCTTGGCCGTACCAATAGAGGTAGAAGATGGTGCAGTGGAGACACCCTGCAAAGAGTCTGACTCTGAGCGGGAAAAGAGACTGTACGAAGAAGATCAGAAGAAAAAATGGGAAGGAATTGATCAGTGGATTTATGATGAGTTCCATGAATACGTCGAGCTTGTTTGACGAGATAATATCGGTCTGAGCAGTCTGTGCAACTTGAAACGACAGCAGTTGAGGTGTGAAGAGATCAAACGACAGCCGACAGCATCAGAATGAATCAAAAGCGGGCGACTCAATACAAGAAGGGTGGGGATGGATTCGGGCGAGATAAAGGAAAGCTGGTAAAAAAAAAAAAAGGCAACTTACATGGCAGAATTCGGGGCAACTAGAGCAGCGCTGATAGGACCGAGTAGCTAGAGACACTCCTCAACCAGAAGAAAGAGGGTAAAGGGAAATACGTGTGGAGGGAGGACACATCAATTGATCAAGTGCATGGGTTTAAATTTGCCGGCGACCATAACCCTTCTTCCAAAACAACGAAGAGGACGTCAATTATGCGTCCCGAGCAGATGTCAATGCCGCCGTAGAGACACGACTCCAGCGGAAACGTTTCTCTAAACGGCTATTCGGATTCGGAAAGGGCTTCTGTCACCCTGCTGTGCCATGCACCCCGTTCATCAATCTTCCAATATGAAATTGCTTTCAGATGCCCGCTCTCCGCCGAGGGGAAGTCCATTACCAAGCTCCCCGCGATGCCGTCAAAGAGGACGGAACATCCGTTGCGGGAAGTCGTCGTCTGTTCGTGGAAGCTGTTGGGCGCTAGCCGTGACACCAAACGATCTCATCCGGTTGGCCGTGGCCGCTCATCACTGGTCTGCTTAATAAGAAGCCAAGAGTGGCAAGCTTTAACTCCAGACGCTCAGTTTGCGCTTTGAAATACACAGGGTCCAAGAGAACTCGTTCCTGAAGAACTGTGACGCTCTGACGGTATCTTGATCGGGACCTCCCCTGGCCACAGCATGATGTCAATCTTGTGGTGGTCCGACTCCCGCGAGGACGTGAAAGCAATGCGGGTCAGTAATGGCTTTCTGAATCCAGCTGCAGCTGTGTGTATAAAAGAATACAAATGAGTCCTCTTTACCACCGTCCTGTACATCCAGCAAGTTTCTCCGTCAAACAATCAAGTTCCAACTAGATCCAACCGCCTCCAATAAAGACATAAAGGCACTAAAAGGAGACACTAAAACGAGTTCCTTCAAAATGGTCGAGTTCATTGTGTTCAAAGGCGGCAAGACAGGCATCGTCAAAGCCACTTCCTGCCGCGAGATTGGTCCGCACGAAGTTCTGGTGAAAATAACACACAGTGGTCTTTGTGGCACGGATCTGCATCACAAAGCTATGGATATGGGCCTCGGGCACGAAGGCGTGGGAATCGTCGAGGAGATTGGCGAGGATGTTACGATGCTCAAGACAGGCGACCGAGTTGGCTGGGGTTACCTTCACCGCGCCTGCGGGCATTGCAAGCAATGTCTTCGTGGCGCGGAAACATTCTGCTCTGACCGCCAAATATACGGATCAGCCAATCTTGACCAGGGATCCCTGGGATCGCACGCCGTGTGGAGCGAGGACTTCTTGTTCAAAATTCCCCCGGAGATCAGTTTGGAGGACGCTGCTCCCTTGATGTGCGGCGGGGCTACAGTGTTCAATGCCCTCCAATTCCACGGCGTCAAGAGCACGGATCGTGTTGGAGTGATCGGCATCGGCGGGCTTGGACATCTGGCAACTCAATTTGCTGCTGCAATGGGATGCCAGGTTGTCGTCTTCTCTGGCACAGAAAGCAAGAAGGACGAGGCCGTGAGACTCGGGGCCAGAGAATTCTGTGCGACCAAAGGACAGAAGGAGTTGAAGATTTCAAAGCCGATCGACCACTTGCTCGTCACGACTGCCACGCAACCGGATTGGAGTATGTACCTCCCCATAATGGCACCCGCGGGCACGATTTATCCTCTCACTGTCAGCTCTGAAGATCTGAAGATGCCGTACATGAACATAATCATGAGCGGTCTGAGGGTGCAGGGCAGCCTGGTGGCTGCTAGGGAAATCCACCGGGAGATGCTCGAGTTTGCCGCTGTCCATGGCTTGAAACCTATCATTCAGACCTTCCCTTTGACAGAGATTGGCATCGATGAAGCATTCAAGACCTTGGAAAGTGGAAAAATGCGATATAGAGGGGTGCTTGTGGCTTGAATGGAGATGCTCGAGATTGGCTGGCGTTTGGTTGCGGTGGATTCCCAGAATGGATAGCCCAAGATCTCCTCAACGTACCCTCGACTGAATTGATAGAGTGCAATACAATAGAGGGCATGTCTATCCATCTTGACGTCAGATCTTCATCAGTTGTCTTGGTGTGCTAGGAACGCCGAGACGCTCTCGACGCCATCTTGTCGAGGCTCTGCCGAATTTAAACCGAATCACGTGGTATTCTCGTCAAACACAGTACTGTAACAAGTAGATCCTCTCCTAGGAAAAGGAGACGCGTGTCCAATGGCCCTGATGGGACTAGCATTGACGGATATTAGTTTTTCCGTTACTGCTGAATGCAACCCCGAGCCCAGCCTCTCGCCTCCCCAAGTTCTGTTCGATCTTCCAAGACCAGTCGTGCTTCCTCCCAGAGAAAAAAAAAACCTGGCCTGGGCCAGACGTCAATGCGGCAACGATGCTGCTGAAGCCCAAGGAGGAGGCGGGCGACAGCCAGACAGATGCTGATGTACGAGGTCTACGCAAGATTCGAGCTCAAAGCCCGTGGACATGGCGACCTCTCACTCTCATTACAACCGCCCTCGCCCTCTTGTCGCTCTCTATCATCCTTCGCTCGTCCCTCCGACTGCAAGTCGACCCTCAGGGATGTGTCATGTCGATGATGGCCCCGACTTACATCAAGCTCTCCGGGTTTGACACGGAGCATTCGCGCTTTGCAACTAAATATTCGCTGTACTTGTATCGGGAAGAGGGGGTTGACGAATACACGAAGGATAATATTGGACTGCGAGGGGCTCCCGTGCTTTTCATTCCGGGCAATGCTGGGAGTTACAAACAAGTTCGATCCCTCTCCTCCGAGTCCTCCCGCTACTTCCACGACGTCTTGCGGCACGATGCCGAAGCCATCAAAGCTGGTGTGCGATCGTTCGACTTCTTCACCATCAACTTCAACGAGGATCTTTCGGCTTTCCACGGCCAGACGCTGCTTGATCAAGCCGAATACGTCAATGAAGCTATCGCCTTCATCCTCTCCCTCTATGTCGACAGCAACCGTCTCCGTCGCGACTCGCAATTGCCCGACCCGAGCTCTGTTATCCTGATTGGACATTCGATGGGCGGGATTGTCGCACGCACTGTCCTTGTGTCCCCAAAGTACCAGGCCAACTCGGTCAATACCATTATTACCATGTCAACGCCTCATGCACGACCGCCAGTTTCCTTCGATGCGGACGTTGTCTCTCTGTATCAACAGGTCAACGAGTACTGGCGAGAAGCTTATTTACAGCGCTGGGCTAGCAATAATCCTTTATGGCATACGACCCTAATATCTATTGCTGGAGGAGGTCGAGACACTACTGTGCCTTCCGATTACGCGAATATTGCCTCACTTGTTCCCGAAAGCCATGGTTTCACCGTTTTCAGTTCCACCATCCCCAGTGTCTGGACTTCGATGGACCACTTGGCGATCACTTGGGCAGACCAAATGCGAAAAGTCATCATTAGATCTCTGTACGATGTGGTTGATGTTCGCCGGGCGGCACAAACCAAGCCGCGGTCGGAGCGCATGAAGGTTTTCCGGAAGTGGTTTTTGACGGGCCTAGAAGACAATGCCCCGAAGAACATGCGTGATGCGCCACACGAGGTTCTTCTAACACTTGGCGATGGGACAAGATCTGCCGTGGCTAAGGGGGACAACGTTACCCTGCAGCATTTTGGGGAGAAAGATCATATGTTCGCAGTCCTGCTCCCGATCCCATCCGTGGACAATACTACATCAAAACTTTTCTCACTTCTGACGGACCAGCAGATGGATACCCAAGGTGGCTTTGAGAAAATGGAAGTATTGTTCTGCAGTGCCTTTCCACTTGCTGGGGGGCTGACTTTAACACCATTGCCAATTCAATTCGACCTCTCGCCTGGTGATCCTAGCGCAACGCGACTTGCTTGCAAGAGGCCAGCCGGAGATGCCATACAACTGCCTGCCTCAACCAGGCTGTCCCAATTTCCGTTCGAACAACAGCCTCCGTTCACCTTTTTGAGCTACGATCTGAGAGAACTTCAAGACCACCAGTTTGTTGCAATGATAGACAAATCCACGGAAAGGAACCATGGCTGGGCTCATGCGGAGATTGTCCCTGCCTCTGACTCCGTCGTCGCATCTGAAGTGAGCCTGCCAATGCTCCTGCTTCGAGGGTTGAATCTGGAGCTCCCTCCTAGCCGCCCTTTGGTGACAGAAATCCGGGTGCCATCCATTCGGTCAAGCTTACTGGCGTATACTCTCCAGATTCGCCAGCACGGTTGCAGAACCGATACAGAGCTCTTCACACCATTGTTGAGGCAGCACATTGACAGTCCATACGAGTCCAAGTATTTCGTCAACTTCAAACAGGGAGATGTCAATCTCCATGGCGCCGCTCCGTTTATGCCGCCTACGCTCGATGGCCGCGAGTCGAAGGCAGGCGTGGCCTTCCAGATCTGGTCCGATCCGACGTGCAACTCTTCCTTGGAGATCCGCCTGCGGGCGGATCCCGTCGGAAGTCTCGGCAAGCTTGTGATCAGATACCGCACAGTCTTTGCGGTCTTTCCTTTGCTGGTGGTGGCAATGGTCCTGCGGAAGCAATTTCGAGTTTACGACAGCTCGGGGGTCTTCATCTCTTTCTCTGAGAGCCTGGACCAAAGCTTGAGGCTACCGCTACCTGTATTGATGCTATCGATGACCTTCTTTGCAACCGCTTTTACCACTGCAAGCTCAGCGAATCTCGTCTCGAGCAGTCATCCTCAAACCAACGGGACGGCGGTGGACTTTGCCCAGAACGACCTTCTTTTGGGTTCTCAGGACACATTCTTCTGGTTCCTTGTCCCTTTGGCAGGCTTGCTTAGCGTTGGCGCCTGCGTTCTGGTGAACTATGCAATCTTGGGACTATTACACTTCATTGTCATCCTGTCAAATTTCATCTCACAACGCTACATGAAACCCGATGATGGTGACAAGGGCGTGGCTTCTGCCTTCGTGGCAAGCACGCCTCGCCGTCGAGTCATCAATACGGCTGTTCTTCTATTCCTCGTTGCGACAATCATTCCTTATCCATTCGCCTACGTTGTGGCCTGCATTGTACAATTTTGTACCTGCGCACGAGCGTTGCGGCATGCCAAAGATTCAAGATCTGGGCCGGCGCATAACTTCTTCAACTACACGTATTCGATACTCATTTTAATGCTCTGGGTCTTGCCGATTAATGTTCCGGTTCTGGTTGTCTGGGTCCATAATTTGGCGGTGCACTGGCTGACACCGTTCTCATCCCACCACAACGTGTTGTCAATAATGCCCTTCATCCTCTTGGTCGAAACCTTGTCGAGTGGGAAAATGGTACCATCTGTCCGGTCATTCAGATGGGCTACCAACCTATTGTTTTTTGTGTTGGCTGTCTATGCGGCGTTGTACGGCATGACTTACGCGTACCGATTACATTATATTGCGAACATTATTGCGTTGTGGCTAGTCTTGCTTCATTTCTCAACCTACCAGAAACGGATACCCACCTAGAGGCGAATCGCGGCACAGCCTTGGCTATCTTGGTCCACCGGCACAACAGAGATAGAACTCTAGATCGGAAATTGGGAAGAGCCAACGGCACAAGTCATTTCGTTGTGGACGGTGCCAATCTTTCGATGATAGAAGCTTGTGAAGATCAAAAAGGAGTCTACATAGAGTGGGCATCGCTCGGCTATTGTGTCCAACAGATCTAATGATACAGTACCAAAGAATTTCTTTTGTGCTTCTGCCGACCTGTTGCTCAGAGGTGAAGGGATGCTAGAGCATTTCTTCGACCTAGACGTGCCTCAAGGCCGTCAACCTTTACGCCTTCATCTCGACACGAAGGACAGTGCCATAGTCGTTTATGTTACTATCAGTACCAGCATTTCAACTGTAAATATCACGAGGTTCTGCGGCGAAGGGGGAGATTGGAGGAATGAAACTTGTTGGGTTCGACTTTCTTTTATTACATGACGAGCGCCATTTCCAGCAGCGCCGACGCTCTCGACAACCACCTGGTTCGAATCGTATTTCCACCGAGAAGCTTTGCATCTACACAGATATCAGGGTTTGGGGAGGCAAACCAGGGAAAAACGTCTGATGAGTGGGTAAAGACAGAAGTGGCATTGGGTGATCAAGTGAGGTAGTGGTGAATGCAATGAACAACTCATCCATGGTTTGCTCCGATCGCTTTACTGCCGCGACCTCTTCCAAATCCGTCCTGTGTCCTTTCGCGGTCGCCAAAATTCTGCCTGTAGTTCTTTATGCATTCAACCTCCTTGCCACGACAAACGCGCACTCGGCTGTGTTGAAAAAGGAAACATGCCTACACCGGCTCAACCATTTCTCCCCAGCGACGCCTCGTCGACCGATGCTCCAAAACAACAAGCGCACAATCACGATCGTAGTCATTCTCCCGCTGCCTGGGTCGGAGTGTCCATATGCGCCATTATCTGTCTCGCGTGGATTCTCAGATACTCATATCTCGCGTCACCTTTTTGGCTTCACCGTATGAGGCGTCGCCTTGGGATCAAACCAGCCTCTCGCACCCCGATCTCTCATCATCCGACTCGGCACAGAACTGGGACCGAGTCTCCAACCCCGTGGATCGCGCGGCCCGAGCCAGCCTATTTTCGAACACCCTCCAAAGACACTTTACCTGTCTATCAGCCGACCAACCAGTTCAGCAGCGATGTGCTGGAGGCGCTGTTGAATTTGGGGCCGGCGGCTGGGGGCGCACGGCCGCCTTCGTACAGATCGAAATTGTCTCAAGAATGGCGAAGTGCGATGGGGACCAGGACCGAGACCGGGACCAGGACCAGGACAAGGGACGACGAGGAGTCTGGGTTCTCATGAAGGAGGCAACTGGATCATGACAGCAATTATTAGAGAACAAGCCAAGAAGGTAACAAGACCCTATTAGTTCTGCAAGGGCGACAGTAGATCGGGACGGGGCTGAAGTGGAAGCGGGGGGGGCGCCTCCTGGACCTTTTGGATAGGAAATGAGATCAAAACTGCGGCAGTCATTATTGTATTGGATGGAGGCTGAACTCAGGCGGAGAGCTATGTACTGTAGAGAGCGGCAGAACTGGTCTTGCAGGGTGGATACACAACGGCAGTGCCGTGAACGGAGTACCTATCGAATTGACGTTGGACGAGAGCGGCCATGGGTCGCGGTTCGGTTGCAATGGACTTTCGGATGGGCGACTGGTTCCCCGGATTTTTGCAGCCTAGGTACGACTCTCTTTAAGCAGGTACTTGTAGTCTTGACTCTCCGGGCGCCAGCAGCGCCAATTTTCTTTGCCAAAGCTTAAACCATTTACCCCGGGCCACGCTTGCGTAATCCAGCAAGCCCCAAGCCTGCCTAAGACACTTGCGGCATGGCGGGATACTGGTGTGGCCCGGTTTGGCCCTAGGGTTCCGGCAAAGAATTGCTGCTTTGGGGCCTGGGGCGGCCATTGCGGATCAGCCGAGACACTCCGTCGTCTCTAGGCGATTGGACGGTTAGGGGCCCCGGGGGGGGGCCGCTGCTGTACCAATTACTGGGTGCTGCCCACACTGCCCAGTGCCCACAACTGCCCACAATTGCCCACACCTGCCATGCGCTGCTTCGGATTTCTTTCTCGCCCTGTTACTGTGTGTGCGGGTGGGCTGCTTGCTGCGTGCTCTGGCAAACGCAACCACTACCCTCTTCTCGCCTCGCCATCCGCTTGCCTGCTCGTGTGAGTTGAGTCCTTTTCACTACTCGGTACTCTCTCGTTCCACTCTACTTGTCTCCTCCATGCTATATTTCATGAATTCAATGCCGGCACACCTATCCGTTCCGAACCATCCACACGCTACGTAGCATCACTCACCAGCCTCGCAAGATCACCTCATCGGGACTCCCCGCCCTGCGATCCTTCAACCACCTTTCATGGCTCAGTCCTCACCTCGGCCCTCACTTGATGGGCACAGCCATGCCTCTGCTCCCTTTTTCCACACTCTGACTCAACGCCTGCGCAAGAGCTCTAATGCCAGCTCCTACAGCTCAGACCCCTCTTCTCCATCCCCGGCCGACCCGGTGTCAAGGACAGAGGCTTCCCGAGCTGCGAGGCGGATGGTGCTGTCAATGGTGCGAGACGACTGGGAGTGGCCTCCGCCTGCGTCACCTACATCCGCAGCCAACAACGGCGGCAGATCCCCCATTCCCCACCGCGAGCCTCTGACATACCGCTTACGCGAAGAAGCCCAATCCGACCTGGAAATCGACGACGTGGCCTCCAAACGCCGCGCAAAGGTTGACCCATACAAGTTCGAAAGTCCCGAGGCGGTGGGGAATGTGATTGCCGAGCGCCGGAGGAAACGCAGAAAAATGCAGGAAGAAGAAATGTCCTGGAATGAAGGGTTGAAGATCTGGATTGAAAGGCGCGATGCCTGGACGGGAGCTCTGCAGCAGAAACCTAACAGCAACAAACCAACAGAACGACGGCCCTCGCCGACCACAAAAAGGCCTTCGTACAAATCTCGCCTTTCTCAAGTCTTCACAGGACACAAGGGGGACCAGCCCAACTCCACGGACGGGGGTTCAACAAGCTGGCCCGTTTCTCCAGCTTCACCTACGCCAGAGTGCTCGAGCATAGAGAGCATCGAAGCCACTCCGGCCACGCAGACCACCACGAACACGACCGCTGAACCTCTCTCGCCAGCCTCATCCTCTCAACTGCCATCGTCACCGCCATCTTTAGTGTCTACAGAACCCGGCCCCTGGATACCCATCTATCCTCCCATCCTCCCCCAAGACAACATTATCCGAGACCGCATAAAGCCCTCGGCCTACCCGACCATCTACTCGAAAATTGTAGTCCAAGGCCTCACGCCTAACGTGCCCATTCCGCTATGTCACATGATTCCCGCATTGGTCGAAGGGTGGAAGTCCGAGGGGAACTGGCCGCCTCAACCCAGCGCCACTCTCGCGCAGGATGTGAAGAAGGGGAGGAAGAGCAGCACCCTGGCCAAGTGGAGAAAAGAACACTCTGAAGACCAGCACAATGGGCAGGATTCCTCCCACCACCATCACTTCCTCCACCATGGCCATCACGGTGGCAGTGCTGTTGGCGGTGGTGGAGAAGTGGCAGCAGCAGTTGTAAGCGGCGCCAAGGACCACCAAAATGTGCATGAGGACGGAGGAAGAGGTCATAGAGTGCGAAGAAGTATAGGTATGATGAGGAGGGTTGGGTCGTTGTTGGGTGGGTCCATGAGCAGTGACGGTCTCGATGAGTTGGGGATTGAGTTCCGCGACCAGGACGAGGAGGAAATGGGGAGGAACGTGGCGCTGAACAAAGGTTTGGTTCATAAAAGCTAAAAGAAAACCATGGGGGACGGATGCACGAGGCAAGAGAAGGAAGCGAGGATGTTGTTCTTTGGTTGTCGTTAGTTTTTCTATCTCTCTTTTCGGGGCCCAATGAAATGGGTATGGTATGGTATCTTTGTCTCGGTTGCATGGCATCCGTAGGGGGGACAGAAGGACTGAGGGCTGCATTTGATATGATCTGATACGACTTGTATCTCACGACGGCGGAACCTGGTGGTACCCCTTTATCTACTGTCCACTGGCTCGTACGCCACGAGCATGAGGATAACGCACGATTTATGATTTGTGATGAGAATGGCGGGATGTGGAATATATGATAGGATATAGGGCGTAGAACCTGACATTTGATATTTGTGGATATATCGCATCGAACATCTATGAGTACCTCCCTGCCTAATAGTGAACGAGCTGCATGCACAAGGCACGGACCACTACTACCTTGAACAAACATACTGCGCCAGTGCCCAGCTACCTAGTCCTTGGGGATAGAGGCTGTAACGTTCGTCGTTCGTCCGTCTGTAGTGCGCGTTGCTGTACGTGTCGGAATGAGAATCGGGGTCGGTACTGACTGACATCAGTCAGGGCCGGAACCAGAATCACCATCAGGGTCAGGGTCAGGGTCAGGGTCAGGGTCAGGGTCAGGATGAGGATCGGAGTCAGCGGCGGCACCAGGCTTCGCATGAGGCTCAGTATCCGTGCAATGTCTCAATTGAAAGTCACAATGTTGATTCGAACTGCCTTGGCCAACTATCCAGCCATCTAACCGGCCATTCGACCACCTGGGATCAGTTTAACCAAGCTACCTTCACCTCCTCACCTCCCTCCCAGCCAATGCTGCAAGAAATGTTCTTGCACAGAGACACACTGCTCTGTCAGCTCTGCCAAGCCCGTGAAGAAGACAAGACGAAAATGATTTCCTGGAAGAAGCATACCCCCAACGCCATTCCGCCTACGCCGCCTCCCGAACACTTTTTGTTTTGTTTTGTTTGTTTTTTTGCCTTTGTTCTTCATTCCAGGTTCCTTTTCTTTCCAAATTCCTGAGCCAGAACCTCCATTTCATCACACTAGCTCTCCGTCCAGACCGAGAACATAAGATTCTGCTTTTATTGTTACATTTCATCCTGGTTATCTACGCATTTCATAGCCCGTTATGTGGTGGTGGTGGTGGTGGTGGTGGTGGTTGTTGTTGTTGTTGTTGTTGTTGTTGTTGTTGTTGTTGTTGTTGTTGTTGTTGTTGTTGTTGTTGTTGTTGTTGTTGTTGTTGTTGTTGTTGT